TGTGTGTGTGTGTGTGTGTGTGTGTGTGTGTGTGTGTGTGTGTGTGTGTGTGTGTGTGTGTGTGTGTGTAACAGACCGTGAGATGTGTCCTCCTAGTTGCCCTCTATTGCAGACAGGTTTGGCACCCTCTCGTAAAATTCCTGCTCCCACTAGAAATCCAACGACATCTTAGAGGTTCACATTACCCTTTGCATCCCGAAATCTAAGGGCTGGAAGGGGCTTTAAAGGTCACCTCATCTACTGGTCTGGCCCAGTGCTTCAGACTTAAGTTTGTCTGAAGTTTTGAAACAGAAATTGTCATTAACCTGATTTTGGAGTTATCAGCTCCCTTTAATTTTAATGGGGGCATTGTAGAAACGTTGGCTTTAACTAACCTACCTTCAAGTTCAAGTTCCCACAACTGACTGGGCAAATGGCAGTGGGTCCAGAGGGATGTGCTCAGCCCAGCCAAGCAGTGTTCCCTGCTACTATTGGCTAACGGGTTCTCCTCCACGATGGCGGCGGCTGACTACACAAGAGCCCGTGCTACCTAGAGAATGACTCAGACAAGCACACTGAGAGGGGAAACAAGCTGGTGTAGGTGGACTCTGGCCAGGAAGAAACTGACGTTATCGCAAAAGCCCGTTGGCATTTTTGTACCTGATGAGCATGACCATGGAGTTCACTATCAGTGGCTACTGAGCATGTCAATGATTGCCATCGAAGGGGTCAAAGACTCGTCATAAAGTCTCATGGGGCGAGCGTCTTTTCAAAAGGGGCTTTCTAAAGGACAGAGCCTACTGAGGTGCCACAAACAGCTAGCGAAGGATAAGGAACATATCCGATCACAAGACAGAGAAAAGCAGGCAAAAATGATGTGTGGGGGCTGCTTCTGAGACCCCTTAGGGACGAGGAGCTATCAATAGAACCCCAAGTCTACGTGACAGAGGACCCCCCCAATGACAAAGCAGTGGTAAGGAAGGGGTGTTTGCTGTGTTCTGCTTCCTCCCTTCTGATGCCACCTCTATCCCCACGGAGTGACGGGAACACCAAAGGCAATGAGCAGGAGAAATGAGACAAGTGGACAGGCAGGCAAGGTGTGGCAAGGGAGAATCAGAGCGTTTCCTGACTGTGGGAGAATTGTTCATCTGGGAATAGGAGATGGCAGGCAAGGGTCTGGGTCCTATCAGCTGCTTAGTGACAGAAAGAAGAGGATTTTCAGGATAAGTCATCACCATAAGCAGGTCGTCATCTTTTGGGCGTTCCTGTATTGTGCTGGCATTAGGCCAGAAACAAATTGTTTCTGTGGCAGGTAAACGAAAGAGCTCTGTAACACTGCCACTTAGATATTTAGTATTTATTCTAATTATTTCTATTGCCATAGATCAATTCATAGTCAGAAGATCTAAGGAGGCACAACCATCCTATGGTCTATTGGTAATAACGGAAAAGAGGGCGAATAGAGGAGCCAGGAGGATCAGCTGAGCTTCTCGTTTGATATAAAAAAAAGAGCAACAAGGGTGGGTGACAGGCTCCTGACAATGACAAGCTGGTAGCAGTTGGTGGCTCTGGTCTAGTCTTTCTTAAAAAGGGGGGTTGAGAACAGCTTGGTGCCAAATTTAGTCTGAGGAATGTGTTCAGCTCAGAGCAGCTGGGAACTAATCCTGGGTTATGTCCGTCACTCAGGCAGCCGTGCACAGGGAGATTAGGAGACAGGGAAAGGAGGCTGTGGACAGGAAGTGGCAGAGGACACAGGAGACTTCTGTTCTAAAAAAGATGGGCTTCTGTGCTTTTGAAAGCAAACTAAAGTTTAGAAAATCGAGTGAGTTCCCGAAAGGTAGCCAGGCCTCTCTAGCCACCTAGCAATGCTGGGACGGTGCGTGGGCTATGCGGAAGGATTTTATTTTTTATTACAGAAGATTTTTACACTCCAGGGCACAGAACGTGGGAGCCGAAAGCCCCACATGCTAGAGGAACTCTTTCTCTACTGGGTGACCCTTTGTCCTGATGACAGTCCTCAGAAATAGCAGAGCCCCATCCAAACTGGCTCCCACCTTCACATTCCCAGGCAACTTGGGGAGAACTGTTGCCCAGATACTCAAACAGCTTTCTCATCTGCTGTGCCTCAAGATGACTGCCTTTTTGTACTTCGAGAGAAATGGACAAGTACAAACTCTGGACAGAATGAACTGAGGTCACAGTTAGCTCCTGAGCTGGACCATGGAGGAGCAGGGTGGTCGGGTCCTCCCTGACCCGAAGAGAATGCCTCCTGCCCTCGCAACTTGCCACTGCGCTGGGGTCCACAGGGGGCCCCAAATGATTCTAGGTCCTCTAGGGAAAGCTGGGAGCCCCTCCTAGTCTCTGCTCTGAAAGGGGCTCCGAGGGCACACTCATACATCGGCCCCCAGACTTAAGCACACGTGGTCTCCAGGGGGACGCTGGCTATCAGCTGTCCAATCCAGGCCCACTCTGGCTTCCTCCCTTCTCCTTTCTGCATATTAGGTGAAACTACGAACCTCCTGGGTTCAGTGGGGCCAGTTTCAATCTCTAATCTCCCACTGGGTGGCCACACCAACTTCGCTCCCCAGCAGCACAGATGACGGGGTCCTCCCCCAGCAGCTGAGTGGGCCTGCCAGTGGAGCCATGGTTAAAAGGGCAACACTGATTTACAACGGAAGTCAAGTGAAATATTCCTGAAATATTAGCAGCCATATGTAATGGCATAAAACATCGGAGAGAACGTACGTGTGGTTCAAGAATTATTTAAAGAGCAGTTTTGATTTCTTCATAGGTCATGATCTTCATAGGAAGTGGCAGAAAAAAAAGGGAGAGAAGATGAGAAGGCTAAAGCGTCAGGGCCTCTAAAACGGCAGCTCAGACAAACGCCAGCTGGGTGTGTGTATATTGTGGGGAGCGTCTTTCAAGGTTAAATCAATACAGATGCAACTGGAAATCTTTTTCAAATCTGCTAAGACAATGAAGTGAGTTGATTTTTCTGGTTAGACTCCAGTACTCCTCTTAGACTTCAAAGTCTGCTTCAAAACAGCAGAGCAGCTGAACTATGAAGTGCTTTTTATCTGCTTATAAAAAAGACACAGTGGGGAGACAAGAAAAAGAACAAAGAAACTACAAAATGGCAATTATGTAAATAGGTGACTTTTTAAAGCAATTCGAAGGTATTTTTCTTGGGGGATTTTATGTTAGCTAAGGGGAGAGGACTAATTTTAAGTTTTCTTCCATTCTGACTATTCCAATTTCATTTTAAAGCCTTTTTTTTTTCATGGAACCTAAGATGCTATTGATTTTCAAAGGTATCATCATTTTATGTACTTTAAGAAGTAAAAATTGCCAATTAAACTATGACTAAAATCTTTCTTATCACATTCACTATAAACACTCCAATTTTAGGGGTATTAAAAGCAAAAAAAAGGACTCTTAGAAATAATTAAACATGGTAACATTATTAAAACAACTCAATTATAGCACCAAGCCTCTGGAAACTTAACTTAATTTACTTCTAATATCTGCTATTTTTCAGCCTGCAAATCACTGTACCTAATTATACTGCTGATGCACGTGTTTCATCTTCCTTGTGGATATTAGCAGCCACCTCAGAATTCCATGTTGACTACATTTTACAGAGAAATCTTTCAAATTGCCATTTTTCAAATCCAGTATTATCATCTAAAAACAGAATTTATAATAAAGAAATTAAACTATTAAAAAAAGAGGCATGAGAAAAAAAATTTTTTTAAAGAGGCAAGAGGGAGCATTTTTGAGATTTTGTCATCCGGCATGCGTCATCAGTTTGGCTCAAATAAACTCTTAGAAAAATTCTTTAATAAATAAATAAATAAATAAATAAATAAATAAAATAATTTAAAGGAAAAAAAAAAAGAGGCATGAGTCGCTCATCCGGTGTGCAGGAATTCTGGGACTGCTTATCTACTCCAGAGGGTAGCAGGCCCCTGGCCACCTGCTTGTGTCCCTCATCCCATCTCTTCTAGCCCATCTGAGGGAGGCAGGTCTCCTTTTCATGAAAAAGCCTCATTTCCTTCCTGGGAAGGGGGCGCTCTGAAGCAGTTACTACAGTTGGCACGTTCTGTTCCAATCTTAGAAATTCTCCATTTCTTAGGGATGGTGGCTGGTGGGGGGTCGCTACTGTCCAGGAAGACACTCTCAGGGGAGGCCCATGCAGACACCGTCCTTTCATCCATTCCTCTCATCCAGGATAAATGTACCCAATTTCCTCTGCTCAAAAGGCATACATGGACTTGGCACACTCTTCCCTGAACTACAAATGTCCTTCACGGGAACGCTGCAGTTGACCCAGCTTTGGATACCCGGGGCCTCTCCCTGCCAGTAAACATGCAATGGTCTAGTTACAGTACAACCTGGAGGTATGTCTCCTCCGGAGCCCCGACACCTACCCCCCAGTTCTCATTCACTGCTGGAACCCCGAATTCTATCACCATTTCCTCACAACTCACAACCACCACCACCAGCAAACGTGAGACATACCTCTCACCTAACCCATGTGGAAGCCTGTAGAGCTGCCCTGTGAGTCACAAGACACTGCCAGGTGGCTGAAAAATAGCCACGTCTGAGCAAAGGAAAAAGGATTTGTGGCACATTTATAATCATGAGATGCTGGCATCGGAAGAGATCTGAGACACGTTAAGTCCATGGAACCTCCTTTTCCAAATGAGGAAACAGAGGAATGGTGAGGCTGACCAGGGGACGTGACCCAGGGAGCACGATAAGCCAGAGGCTTTGGACTCAGTGTTTTTCTCTGAGACCGGGATAGTCATCAGAGAGGCTGGAGCAGACTCAATGCTGGCAGAGGCAAGGCTGGGGGTAAATGGGGAGCGGGCAGCCCCTGGGGCAGAGGGGCCCTACGGCTGAGAGGTATGTCACAAGGTTACAGAGAAGAGAGACAAGGCCCTACCCTGAGTATGAGAGACAGAGGGGGAGCGTCCTATCAGCGGCCGCTGCTGTTCACCAGGCCATGAAACTCCTCCCAGGCCCTGGCAAACCAGAGACAAAAAACACAATAGCACATTCAGATCAAAGGCTTTTTAACAGAGAGCAGACACATAACCCCACATCCCATTTCAGACACCCTCAAGGTCGAGTGCGGCCCACCCATACCTGGAAGCACAGCCGGGAGGTTTCGCACCTAGACCTTCCTCTCAGGTTGACAGTGGCGGCCAGTGCCTTTCAGGCACTTCTGCTGGCTTCTCCACTGGCGAAGTCTGGCCCTCACTATGCTCTCGAGGGTTTGCCAGTCCCTCGATCCACTCCTTCATCAAGTCTACCAGGGAGGCCCATGAGCTCAACCAGCACTACACACACACCGGTTTGCTGGACCCAAGGGCAGCAGTGGGGCGTGAGCACAGGTGGTGCAAACTGTCTTCATCAGGCCTCACCCTGAGGGCCAAGGCAGGTACCCAACAGCAGCACGATGGCTACAGAGGCGGCTCTCTCTGCTTTCCCATTTCCCATTTCTCAGCCTCCTTCCTCACCTTCTAACCTCAGACTCCAAATTTATATCAGGCTCCGTTTCTGACAATACCCATGTAACTGTCCTAAACCTTAAGCTGTGTAGGTCACAGCAGTTCAAACTTCCTAGGGAACAAAGCTCATTTCCAAGTTTCATGCTGATGAACTCCATTTAGAAATTGGGGTCAGGAAGGGATAAGAATGTGACTGAGGGGTACACAGTCTCAGGGTGGGGCGCAACAAAGAACAGGCCCTGGGCGGGAGGAGGGAGGAGGGGAACTGCTGGCCCAGGCAGGAACCCAGGGCCCTCCGCACCTGGAAGCCCTCAGTCACCTCAGGTTTTCTGAGGAACCGAGGTCCTGCTTCTTGTCCTAGCCACTTTTCAGTCCCATTAGGGACAAAAGGAGTTGGGAGGTTCCCTGGGAATTACATATATGATGGGGAATTTGTGCTTCTAAATCTCAAATTCCTTTTTTGTCAATTATTCCATCATTTGTTTAAAGGGGTGAGAATACCCAGGGTGATGACATATTGTGTCACTCACTGGGTTTAACATTATGGCCACTAAAATATACTTGATTACCAGGCCTTCTATAGGTAGCTTTTCTTCTTCTTCTTACGGTTTCTTCAGAGAGTATTACCAAAGCTACTAATACACGCTAACTGAATTGGAGAAAAACGTAAGACCGCCAAGCAAGGGTGCCAGTCTGTCATGTCACAAACTCCGTTTCCATAGCCCATCCTGGAGATGGTGACGTGATGAACTTTGTGAGTCCGTGACTGACATGAGAAGGCCATTTCACTCTTCACTCCAAATTAAGATACAAATTAAGGCAAAGCAAACTGATGCTTGGGCAGTGACCCAGGAAAGCCCTTTCTCGTTTTAACAGTGCGATTTAAATGTCAACTTAAATGTCAACAAGAAATTACGTGGTTGTGTCAAAGCTTCATCTCATTTATTCTTTTGTTTCCAGAAAGGCTTACACTAGTCCACACAGCAGTTCTGTGTCAAGGAACTGCAGAAATGTGGATTTCAGAGTTCCCCTCTGATCCATTCCAGTATTAAACTGCCCTCCCATTTTCTTCAGAAGTATCTTCCTCATAGTTAAACCTCACAGGAAGAATCTGGGTAAAGAAATTTCCTCACATGGACTCAGCGGAAATAAAATAGTTGGTCACAGTGATTGGTCCAATCACTCCTCTTCTCGCAGGCCACGCTCGGCTAAGAGCAAATCAAACACCTAAAGCTAGGTGCGAATATTCTAGCTATTTTCCATCTGGCATCCCAGGCTTATTAGGTAATATTAAAACTTGCTTCTTTTAAAGGTAAAGAAAGAACAAGTTAAACGTTAAAAGTGTTATATGAATGAAGCTTCTAAAATTATCCTGAAATTAATATCATCTACAGGGACTTTGGAACAAATTCAAATGACAGAATTAACAGTCCTTTAAAGACCACTCTCGTCTCAGCTCACTTACCAGAGCGCAAACTCTGAGAGCCAAGATCTCATTTCTGTATAACTCTGCTTGCCCCCATCTCCACCCAAATTCTGGCTCACAGCCTCACACTCAGCTGGCCCTCGACACTCATGGACAAGTTCAGCCTCCCGCCCATCCGGGCTTCCTTTACTTTGAACACCAGTAGAGGAGGATGTTTCATAAATGCTAAGCCAGGCCAGCAATTACGCTAAGGTGACCCAGTCCAATGGGCTATGATTTAGCTGTAACAGGAGAAGGGATGGTTTGGTCCTTGTCTGCAAAGCTCAATGCTTAAGTACAATGAAATCTAGACATGGTTAGGGAAACTCCCCATGATTTGACCCGTTTCTCCTCTAGAGTAAAGAAACAAAGAGAAGTCATTTACCCTCAACTTTCTCTGCAGAGGGGTCTGGTCAGTCTCCCCAGCCCTGCGTCCCAGGATGAAGCTGGCCCTGTCTCCCCCTCTTCCATTCCAGGCCAGATGCATAAAGGGAGTCAATGAGACTATTCCCAAGAGGGATTTCCTCACAAAAGACACTGCTGCTTTACATGGGTCTGCACCCAATTATATCTTGGTGGTCCCATGATTCTGGGTTGCAAGTCTGGCTGTTATGAGATTTGTTCTCAAAATGGAGGACACAGTCACTTGATGCCTACAAGGACCCAAACTTGCAAAACCTGAACGGTGACTGACCTCACTAAAAGGAGCCATGCACCTGAGCTAACACTCAATTTAACGAGGTTCCCATTTCTCAGTGGGACCCGTTCAGCCTTAAGAGGTGACCTGTTGGCAGTACAAGGGCGGGGGCAGCAGGCCGGTATCCCCTTTGGAGCAGAGCCGCTCACCAGGCACATGTGCATCAGTGTTTGCCTCAGTCACCCAGGAGCGCAGCAGGAAAAGGCCACAAGCAGTGCGATGCGGGAGGGGATGGAGGGGGGCTGGAAGAACCAAACAGCTGAAAAAGGACATTGGAAACGGGACTGAAACACAGCCAGGCGGAGGGACACTTGGCCGAGAAACCCAGGCCACTCCTAAAAAAGCCCTTCACCATTTCCAGCCGCCCTAATCTCCAGAATACTTTCTTCCTTCATGTCCCTTGAATTCTCAAGTCCCAGCAGCTGCTGTTCCTTGGTTCAAACAAAGTCACAGCTGGGTGATAGCCACTAGGGAGAGAACAAAGCAGATCAGCTCTGACTTCTGTTCACGTGGGGCCAGGATCAGAGGGGCCTCAAGGTCAGTTTGTTGCTTTCTGATCAGCTCTTACTCAGGAAGGTGACATCAAGCTCACCCCCTGGCCCAGTTACAGTAGCTGAAGTTAAGGTCAGTACATGTAACACAATAGTGGAAGGTGGAAGGGGAAAGGCCACAGAAGGTAATTCTTTGACAAATGCTGAAAACAGAGAATTGGCATTTCCGCATTACCATCACCTCTCTCGTTTTCTAGGCACTTCAACCCATTTTGGATATGCGCTAAACAAAGCAGCAGTGACACAAATGCCTCCAGCCCAGGGTGCTGGCCCCAGTGTGTGTTCTGTGGGATCCCGGGCCCCATGGAGACTGGTGGTCAGTCAGGATGGCACAAGCACAGGGTGTCACTGCCCACATGGGTCAGCCACTTCGGCAAACTCCACGTAATGCCCACAGCCATCTTCACAGATGCTACCTGGCAACCTGACCTACTGTCTGTAAAAACATTCATTTTTGGTTTGGTGGTAGCTCCCAAGAAAACCTGCAGGAACACGAGGCTTGCTGCAATTCTCCATGCAGGTTAGGGGCTTGCAGGCCCAGATCAGCTCAAACAAGCCAAGCCACAAAGCACAGGGGGGGCTGGGACGCCCTACAGTCACGTGGCCTGAGGAGCGCACGCACGCAGGCTGAAGCTGCTTCGCACCCCAGATCCTGCTGCACAGTAACCCTGGGAGAAAGGGGAGGGCTGGAGCCTGGAGAACTTGCAAGCAGAGCGAGCTCAAAGACGAAGATGACCTACGGGGGAAGCAGAAGGGAGAAGGCTGGCAAAGAGCTTGCGGCTCGGGCAGCTCTGGCAGTGAGGAAACCCTGGGAACACAAAGCAAGGAAGCTACACACGCACAGCCACACACAGATGGAAGCAGGGCTTGACCTCCAAGCAAGAGACTTCTCTGAAGTCAAGGGAAACGAGTCAGCGAAGCGAAGGCCAAGGGTTCCCCTTTCCAACCTGAACGACTTTCAAGCTGAATTCTGCATCAGAAATCATTGTCCTTTTCATGAGCATGACTAGATGGAAACTAAAATTCAAGTACCAGAAACTGGGGTCTCATTTTGAGAGCTAGATGTCACCTCATGATGTCAGACCTCAGCGGAAGTGGAAGAAAATAACCACGTGACACTGTACAATGGGCTGTGGAAATGAGGCTGCACTCCCCCGACGGCCCTCCATGGAGACGTCTGTGCCATTCCTTAATGCGGTGGCAGTCAGGCTGAAAGGCCACTTCTTAGATGCGCCATAAAGAGCAAGAGCATGAGACAAGCTAGTTTAGCACCATTTATTAAGTGATCTCAGCTGCTGGTGCAGCTGCTGCGTGTCAGCCTGTTCTTAAAACACAAATGCTCTTCCAATTCCTCTTGTCCAGGACAGAAGGATCTTCCAGGTAGCACGCCAACAGAACAAGAGACTCCGATGATGCCAGCTTCAATGATGATGCCATCCAGAGAGGGAGAGGGTCATGGCACATTCAACCGCGACTTCCAGAGGTTTTGAAAAAGGAGCCTTTGGGGGCCCAGCCTGCCTGGCATTCTAGTGGAAGTGCAAAAGGTTGGCACATTGGGAGAGGAAAGAGGGGGACGCAAGGGAAAGTAGCATTTGGGGGTCAATGAGGGTTTTCTGGTCCCTGTAGCTGCAGGGCTGGAGTACTAGGCAGACCTCTGGCTAAAGCAGCGAGCAGCACACTAAGGCAAAAGCCCACAGGCTCTCCTAGACTCTGTAAGGACTTGTACACATTTCTGTAAAAGTCAGGAAGAACTGCCTCAGGGTATTAGAGAGGGAGAACAGTGGAGGGGGAGAGTTGAAAAATCCCTCGTTCCCTTTCCTACCCAGGTGAAAAGCTTGCTCTTGGGGGGATGGGTTGGGGGGAAGGGAGGACCTTGGGAACCTTGAGCATAAGAGTCCTAGAAAAAATACAGTATGTGATCTCTCCAACCTGCGCTGAGTCTGGCTGGAGGGCAGAAACTACTTCTATTCCAGAACAAAGAATAGGACCAATCTGCCCAGAGGAAAACGGTGCTAACCCAGGACTACTAGGTCAAGCCACCAAGGGCCAGGGCTAGCTAATAATTCTCGGTGGCTACGATGAGGCACGTCCAGCCAGTGGATTATGGACCAACTCCTGTGGCAGCGTTCCCAGTTAGAAACTAGCCCTTAGCTAGTTTAAGCCAACTCCACCCACATTATCTGTGACTGCGTGGGACAAAGACTCCCAGTGGTCTGGCTGCTGAACACCATCGTTGGGCTCACTACTAGCCTGTAATAAGAGTAACGTGATGATGATATTACTAATGATGATGATGACAGTAGTAACATTACTTGGCCCTGTATGAGCAGCCTCCATCTGTGGACCTCCAATTACAAAGACTCAACCAGCCTCCCAAAGAGCTGTTAGGTGAAGTGTTATAATCCCCCATTTTACAAATGGGGAAACTGAAGCAGAGTGAGTGGTGGAGACTTGCCGAAGGCACACACTGATGCCAGAGTCACAGGAGAGAACTAGGCCTGGAAGTCCTGACCCCTAGCTGGCTAGCTCTCCCTCCAGTTGGTAAAATCTAATGGCCACTCCCCACAGCCTCTTCTGCAAGCTGAATGCATCTATGACATTCACTGAAGGAGCGAGCCCAATGGTGACTCCAGCTCCACTTCCCTGAGCCTAGGTAGAGCGCAAAGCTCACCTGCCCTATGGCCTTCACAAGTCTCTTAGGTTCTGCTCTCACGAGCACACTATTCTGCTGCCTCTAGGATTCGGCTCTACACACAAGGAAATGGAGTCACCATTTCTGATAAGAAGTCAATTTCTCAGGACAAAGAAACAGACGGAAGCTAACAGGTTAAAAAGACATGCAAAAGTCGGGCAGGGGCAGACAGGGGGGACTTGCGTGTGCAGTGAAATTATCTTTAAAAAACGGCAAGAAAAAGAAGAGTCCTTTGTCTTTCATTTTCAGATATGGTTAGCCAATGAAAGACAAGACGGCCTGTGTAAATAAAGCAAGCCCAGGCGCTGCAGCTGGGGTTCTGCAGAGGGGCTCTTGGAGCAGGTGTGCAGGGAGCCTCGCCAGCAAAGAGCTGCTTCCAGTGGCCAGAAGCCCTACAGGGGAAGGCTGGTCTGTCCCTTCTCCATAAGTCAGTCTCCTGTACGACCACATTCCTCTGGACCCAACTAAGGACCTGCTTCTGCTAAGCTGAGGGACATGCCCCCCCCAAACCCCCCCAACACGTACTTGATGCTGTCGGTGTGGGTTTTGTATTCCATAATGGTGTTGGGAGGTAGGTTAAGCACTCGCCGAAGCGTGTCCCGGATTCGGGCTGTGGTTGCTTGGTCGCTGGCAGTCTTATTCCATATGGAAATAATGTCCTCCTACAGGAGGGGCAGAGGTATCCATCAAAGCATGCCGGAGGCACGAGGGGGCAAAGGCAACGCGAAGCCAGACCTGCCCACGGGAGGCTTACCTGAAACCGGACAGAGACCACAGCCCCACAGATCTCCTCCCCAACCATGAACTGTTCCCCCAACATGGCCAGGATAAGATTCTCCCAGCAACGGGATGCCAAGCCCTTCCGCAGCCGAATAATCCACTTGCCACCATTTTTATTTGCATCATCCTGGGGAAAGTCAGAAAGCATAAAGTTAAAATATGGTTTCACAGCTGTTTTCTTTTGCAAGAAGTCAGTAAAAGGCCAAGGATCCCCTGAACACCAAGAGGTCTTGTCACCTTCCAATTATTCAACTTCATAGGAAAAATGGTGGTAGGACCAGAGAGAGAAGAAACAGGAAAAGAAAAAAAACAAAAAAACAAGGGAATCCTTATACAAGTCATTACAAAAAAAATGGCTAAACAGACCCTTTAAAAAGGATCCTTTTTTTCCAGAACTACTTTAGGAATCAAAATGAAATGATGTCAGATTTCAAACACAGATCATTCCTCACTTCATTTGCTAAGTGTTTACTGAGCATCACCATGTCCCAAATACACAGGCATGAAGCCACTGTCTCTACCCAGACCCAGTCTAGTTGAGGAGACAGAAAATAAACTATAGCATACAGTGTGACGAGTGCTGCTGTGACAGGGATATGCACAGCAAATGAGAGAAGACCGAGACAGAAATATTCAAGAGGCCACATTTAAGCTGGGTCTTGCAGAACATAGGAGTTAGCCAGGCCGAGCAAGCGAAGGGCTCTGAGGGCTCCGGGAAGAGCATGTCTGTGCAGAAACTCGGAGTGTGAGGCTGAGATGAGAAGGCAGGCTAGCTGCGCTGAAAGGAAGATTTGGAGGTGATGGGAGACAAGGCCTGAAAGGCAGACTAGGTGCGAGATCATGTGAGCTGCAGAGGGCTGCATATGATTGAAAAAATTTGGCGGGGGGTGGGGGGATTGGGGAGATGTGATCACATTTGTCTTCTAGAAAAATGCCCTGGCATCAGAAAAGGAGATGGATTATGGCAAAGCCAAGAGCTCAGCCCTGGGTCTCTGGTTATCGTCTGTAAGCTTGTTTATTACCCACTTTAATCATAAGTATACCATGGTCATATAGTACACACACACAACCAGTTCTATGGGAATAAGGGTAATAAAAAAAAAAGCCCTTTAATATTGCTGTAATACCATTTTAGCGATAAAACAATCTTGCAAAACCACCCAGCACCAACCCACCTGGACAAGCAATGGCATCAGTGTCTTTTCCTAGAGGTCCCCATTCTAAAGATGTACCAAATACTGATGCAGTTTTGAGAGAAGACTTTAAAATACTTTTAAACTCAGCAGGGCTAAAAAAAAAAAACCCAAAAACAACTTGCTCAGAAAAGCAGTCAGAGGCCCCTAGTCCTCACCTCCCACATGGGTTTAATTCCTTCTTTGAAGAGATGGAAGTCGCTGTGGCCTGTCAGGTCCCCGGGACGTACCATATGGCTGTAGAACCTCCAGAACTGCTCCACCTGCAGAGAGAAGGCCCCAGAGTACCAGTGATGTGTCTTTTCTTTGAATGAATGCAAGATTTCTTTCAGAGAGAGGCATAAACATGGAGGACACACTGTTATAGGCAATCCTTTCGGAGGATATATTTTCATCTGGAGTACTGCGTGGGAGGGAAAGCATGTTAGACCAAAGGATATGGTAAAAGAAAAATGTAATATTGTTGATACAAGAACAAACTCTTCAGATGAGAAATGCCAGCCTCAGCCAGGAGCCTTAGTTGGTGAGGTCACTCAGCCCACACGCGCCCTCCCGCAGAAGCCGCAGGGTAACCATCACATGCTGTGAGGACTGTGTTTTATCACACAGTGGAAACCCTTTAGTCCTGAGTGCCCCACAACCTCGGCCTGAATGTACTTCTTAGAACAAAATCACCTCTTGATCAAAGGCTGTTAACTGGCAAGTATGGCACTGGCTACAATGGAATATATTTTACTTCTGTTTGGTAACTGAATATAAGTGACAGAGTGAACTGCATGCACGGCTCTATCCAACGGCGCCTTTGCAAGGCCAGGACAGTCCAAAGCCAAGCAGGACGTAGTCTCTCCCACTGAAGTTTCAGTCCCTCTTCTTAGCCAGGACATTTGTGCTTCTCGCTCCCCCTTGACAGTCCTGTTAGAAACGTAGATATACTTCTCTATAAGTGGACGCATGTTTATACTCAGCGTGCTAGTCCTGTTTCTCACGGCAGGAATTCACAGAGGACACCTACCAAGTACTGGCCAGTGAAGAGGCACACTTTAGGAGAAAACAGAAAATGCGGAACGGTCAGAAAAGAAATAGTTGACATTTGCCAACACACTGCTGAGAAGGCTCGAAACAAACACACAGCAAGACACCATAGCTGTGTAGCTGAAAGTGGGGACTGAGCAGAGAGAGCTGCAGGTATCACTTCCAGGTTTGGGGAGTAACTGAGGAGAAACAGACCTTCCACTGTGTGACACGGCAGTCCCTTCAGCTCCTCTACAGAACAGGCCATGGGCAGTGTCTCACAGAAGTCAGGGAAGAATGTCATTCCTAAGGACCTCAACAGTGTCTCATCTCAGCCATTGCTACGCTCAACTGCATGCAGTGATTTGGGATAGTAAGTGGCCACATGTATACAATGAGCAATACTCTCTTTCCACCCTAACGCGGTGGACAGAAATAAAGCACACCCACTAGAAGCTTTGGCTCGTGGTATATGCGGAATTGGAGGGGGGTGGTGAGGAGAAAAGTACACACACCAGCCCCAATTCCCCAGTCAAGCATTGCTTTCTTAACGGTTTGGTCTCCTCCAATCTCACAGCCAGACTATACAATCTTACAGCCACAATCTTATATCTAAACCATGAGAGATGAAGTAAGCAGCTCAAGAAATATTATTAAACTTTGATTTTTTTTTCCCTTCTCTTAAGGTAATTTTGGTTTTTGAAACCAAAAGATAAAGGAAGTGTTCAGACTCAGAATATGAGGTTCAGAAATCACCTCAGCTACCTTACCCATTTTACAGCTGAGAAAATGGCTTCAGCACTCGCCCCAGCTGAGTCAGGCACCAGAACAATGAACCTGTGACTCCCAAGTTCAGTGCTCTCTCCATTTCAAAACACTGCCTTCTTAGTCTCCCTGGCGTCAGGAACTTTCCCATGCTGTCAAACACTAGCATAAGGACCAACGGGAAATGCGGCTCTGGGTTCAACGAAAGGTTTTGCAAAAGAATCATGTTCTGTGAGGAATTCTATATTGTGAGGCATGTCTTAATGCCCTGGATTATAAAACAGCAGATTGCAAACACTGTCACACATCCAGTGAGCACCGAGCAAGCCTTAACCCAAGGGAATGCTAGGAGAACTACCCAACTCAACACACGCACCCAAAGAACTGAAAACAAAAACCCTCTTTTCACAAGTTGGGTAAATATATACATGCTTTCCTTAACACGGAAAGAAAAATGCTGCAGACGTTTGTAATTACCACAAGATAACTGAACAGAATCCCCAGTTCAGTGTCTCCTCTGACCCTCCCAGGGCTCATCTGGCTGTTCACAACAGATGGCTGCCTTTCTACCTGTAATGTCTACCATTCCCACAGAGCAGGTAAAGACATTTTTGTGACAGATGCAGGAATATTTGGAATACAGCTGACTCTCGAACAACACAGGTTTGAACTGCGAGGGTCCACTTACACGTGCTATGTTTCAAATGACCCAGGCAGTTCAAAGCCGTGCTGTTCAGGGTCAACCTCATGGTTAGGAACCAGCATAAGCGGAGGGCTGACTGTAGTCACAGATGATTGCTGGCTGCATGGGAGGTCCACGCCCTTAAGCCCCAGCGTTGCTTAAGGGTCAACCATATGTGGATATTTTCAGAAGTTTAATTCTCTGGCAAGAATTCCTTTCTCTTCCGATCACCTGTTCAAAATTTTAAACTTCAATCTTAAACCCATGTCCTCTCCAAGAGGCTTTCCCCAAGTTGAAATGAATCCCTTCCTTCCTTGGAGCTCCAAGAGCTCTCTAGCCACGCCTTCCCAATGGCACTCTGTCTCCCTGTGTTAGAAATTCCTGGCCACGTCTTATTTCTCTAAAGGCAAGGTCTTAATTCATTTTAGAACCCTAATAGAGCCTTGAATTCATTCAACAAACATTTCTGGAACCAAAAATGCACCAGTGCACAAGCTATTTTTAATATTTCAAAAAAGCCTAACTTTACCAGTGATAAGGGAACATATCCACTCAGAGCAGTAATCAGATGACCTGATTACTAGTTATATGTGTAGCATATCTGATAAATAATAAACAGATAAATAGATATAGCTTGTCTGATCAGCAAACATTTTAAAAATTGGAGCCTCTTGTCATACATTCCGGTGCACTGGAAGAGTGACAGAACGTGGGCTTTGAATGTGGCTGTTACAACCTGCCCAACCTCTCAACACTGGTTCCTTTCCTTAGTCAAGTCAACTACAACTGACTTGAGACTTTAGATCAGATACTTAACCCAAGTCTCACTCTTCTCATTTGTAAAATGTGGGTAACATCACTGACCTCATAGGGCCATCGTGACGATTGGAGGAAGTTACACAAAGTGCTTATTACTAGGTGCTTCCTTAGTAGTACTGATTTGTTGTCACGTTTACTGACTATTGCAGTTTCCTTTTCTAGTGTCTACACTTTAAACAGGACAGGTACCTCAATAATTACAAGAAAACAACAAATCCTGCATTTGATTCTGCCCAGAGGTGGAATGTACAGCACGTAGGAAGTGCATAATAATCTTGGTTGAACGAGACTGGTTTTAGCTGCAGACAGCTTCTAAGGAACACAATCCCAGCTACCTCTGAGAGCGCTAAGACAAAGCCTGGGCTCTCTGTACTGACAGTACCCACAACAACAATTATTAGAGATTTCATTTCCTTTCTGAAGGCGGGAAAAAGATGCTACTTTATACATAATCACTCACCTATCCAAAACCCTAATGAAAGGTCCTTAAATACAGAGTCTTCTGAACTTGAACATCAAACTTCATGAGAATAGACACCATATATTATAAAATTTTGTATCACCCCTGACACTTTGCACATAGTAAGGGTTCAATAAATATCTACGTAAACAAACCTTATTTTTGTACTGCCCCCTTCTGATAATTCCATAATTCACCTACTTGCTACCTATAGACATCTAGTGAGAAACCTATGAACAAATCTGACCTCGGAGACTCAGGAAAGCAGAATCCTACACAGGTTTCCAGAAGGGTAAATAAACATAATATAAGCACAGGCATGAATTTACTACCAAGGTCCACTACATTAACCCACTCAGTACTCACGGAGGCAAAGGTGCCAATCTGTTTGATATTCTGTTCATAGCTCTGTGAGCTGGTGGGACGGCCGGGGGTTCTTCTGGAGTACCAGAAAGTATAGTTGTACTGCAGGGGGTGCTCTGCTGGTCCAGGGACAACAGCCTGTAAATTAAAGAAGGTGTGTTAATCCAGGCATTTTCCACATGCTCTTAGACTGAAAAAACATTTTGCAGTGTCACTCTTTACTACCGCCACAACTTAGAAAGGATACATCCTTAATTGCCTGCAACGTACACCAGATTCTGCTCACACAGTATATTTCTTTAGTGGTTAACTGATTCTAAATTCTTGTAACATTTTATCAGTGTTCTTATGGTTTTTGTAACTTTCTACTTCATAACATAGGTATTTAGTTTCTATCTTGTCTCAACGAATTTCCAGGGCCAGCATCACCTCCTCTATGATATTCTATCAGTTATTGGGTAGTGACCTGGGCAAGCTGTTTAACCTGTTTGTGCCTCAGATGCTTCTCTGCAAAATGGGGAAAATAATAATAACCACCTCATAGGGTTACTGAGAAGGTTACATAAATTTATAGATGTAAAGTGCTTAGCACAGTGCCTGGCACATAGTAAGTGCTCAATAAACGGCACCGACTATTATTATCGTCACTATTAAATATATGCTCCTTGATCCAGTTTCATTCACCTTTGTGTCCCTTCAGCACATAAAATGCTTGCATTTAGAAGGTAGTCAATATTGTGGAATGAAGCAATTAATAATTGCTTTGATTTTTCAAGAAAGAAATTGATCCACCTATCTCTCATTGTCTAAATTTTCTCTTTTCCAAGTCACTTTCAGCTTAGGCTATTACTGACTGAAGAGTCTAAAATTTCAAAGCATGTGCAAGATTTGAAATATTCTGCAACATCTTATGAAGCAATAAAAGCCTTGTTAAACTCCAGGGTTAACCTTCCCTACCTCAGGCTAGGAGAATGCTGGAAAACAAGAAAGCATCTCAAGGTCCTGTGACAAAGGAAAAGTTCCGAGTTCCTAAAATGAGCTCTAGTGATTCAACAATCTTTTCTTAAGAACAAAATCAGATATTACAAAACAGTGTGCAATCAAGTTAATCTAGTATCTTCCAGATAAATAGATTCCATGTGATAACCACGTCTCAGGTCCAAAGGCAACCACATCTGTGCAGCACAAACCCACCTTCCTCTTGCTGCTGCTCTGACTCTTGTCTCGTTCCGTTTTTTCCTTCTCACCATCTTTCTGTGTGCTGTTTTCTTCATTCTGATCATGGTCCCCACTGTCATCATCTTTCAATCTAAATTAAAAAAGCAAAACAATGTTATCCCATGATTGAGCTGACTCTTGCTTACCTAACAAAGGCATCAGGTCACATGAACTGCCATAATACCAACCCAAAGTCACTCAAAATACTGGCAATGAGATGAGAGAAGGGCAAGGGAACTCAGAAAGTTAATTAGGAGGATTAAACAAAAATGAAATGCCCATTGGCTAATGTGTGAATTCCAGAAAGCACCATCTATCAGTTTCCTAACAAGCTGTGCAAAGAAGAGGTAAACAATTTAAGAAATTGTTTTCTCTGCCAAAAATAGTCAATAATGAGAAGAGTTTCTGGATTAAATAACTGCTCTGGCATTTCAAATGAAGTTTAAAAACTTACCTATCTTTCTTGCCACTTCTTCTAACCATCCCTCCTATCCTTCCCCAGGGCTACTGCTTTTGTTCAGGCCCTCTTGTCATCTCAATTATTACTGTAAATCCCTAAATGGTCTTCCCAACAGGAATCACCCCCACCCATTCCATCCTCCACATAGCCACCAGCATAATCTTTCTAAATGCAAATCAGACCATTTAACTTCCATGCTTAAAACTCTCAGCTGTCACTGGCTCTTTCATGCCCACCCAGCAGGATAAATGAATGAAATGTAAGATCCTCTAGACTCTGACTCCTCCCTACAGCATCCTTTCCCTCCCCCCACCTCCCTAAGCAACCTACAGTCCCACACCTGTGCTGTCTGCAAACACTACCCCCTCAGCCTAAGGTGCCATTCCTCCCACATCCGTTTTTCCTACTAGATGGAGGGATCTCTTAGAATATCGTCTTATTAATCTTTGTATCTCCAGCACCTAGGACAAGAAGATGCTGCCCTAACATGTAACACAAATTATTGAATCAATGTTAAATGAAAAAAATGACTGAATATCTTCTTGCCTTACAAGTACTCAGGGCCTCGCTCAAAAGTACTTTAGGGGGCCGGCCGAGTGGCGTGATGGTTAAGAACTCGAGTGGCGTGATGGTTAAGAACTCGCTTGGGATGCCAGAGAGCCCCGGTTCGGATCCCACATGTGAGGGCCAGTGACACTGCCCTCCACAGCTAAGATGCTGAACAACAGCTCAACCTGGAGCTGGGCTGCGTGAGTCACTGGCGACGGCGTAGGCTGCAGTCCCTGCTGCAGTGGGCTGCCATGGGCTACCGTGTGTAGCCAGCAGCCAGCGTGAGCGGCCAGCAGCCGCAGTGAGCGGCCGTCCAGAAGCCGGCAACTGATCTGCCTCGCCCTGGAAGAGCGCAGTGATGGTGCCAATTTGGGCAAGTGAAGCAACGTCCTCCACAACTAGATTGAAGAACAAAACGACAGCAACTTGTCTGTTCCCTTCCCCAATCTCCCAGCACTGTTCCCATTTCCCCAATAAAAATCTTTAAAAAAAAAAAGTACTTTAGGTGCTTCCTTTTTAGGAGCAGTGAAACTTCTCTAAGGCTTTCAGGTACACCTAAAGTTCGCTGGATCCGGACAAGATAGACAGAAGGTGAGTTCACAAAGATGATAAGAATGCTGTTTAGTCTAGAGCTGGACCATTAACTTATCATGGACCTTCTCGAAGTCACCTTTCTTGCCCTAATGACTATCTAGTCAAATGGAATTAGGCACAATTCTCAAGAAAAGTACTGGAAATGCTCAAATTATAACTCAAATCTTACTCTATAGATACAGAAACCTATTGTAAAGCATTTTACATTTTTTTGCCCATGAATCCCCAGTGCCTAGCACATAAAAAGCATTCAGTAAGTATTAGAATGTACGTGCTAGCCATGTGTTGGGGTGCCTGCTCTGCCCATCTCACAGCCCTTGCTAGAGGGTATACTCAGGTGGTCACACACTGTGCCATCAAAGCCCCCATCCCCACCCTGGCCAAGGTATGACTACGAAGGGCACTTGACCAAAGGGCAGTCCAGCCTGGCCAATAACTTCTGCCTCGGGCAGGGCCTTGCTCAAAATTATGAGCACGTTCCTCCCTCAGCTTTTCATCCACACGAAGGAAGATCATACAGAGTCAGAGCTGGGGCAGTCACATAGGTCCCATAGAGAAAAGCCACGAGGGAATAAAGACAAAGAACACAAGCACAAAAACTGGGGGGTGGGGGGGGGGTGAGATGAATAGATGAGCAGACAAAGTGGAGAGGAGAGTGGTTTCGTTTGTGATGCTGCCATTTCACTGGCTTGGTTCGACCTCCCTGGACTTCCGGGAGACCATTACCTGTACTTACAATACCCATCCCCCTTTGTGAAACTTGAGTTGGTTTGGTTTCCACAAGTCCCACAACATTTACCAAGCACCTACTGTGTGTGTCAGACAGTGCCTGGCTGAGGAGCTAGGGTACATGGCTCTGGCTTCAGCATGGTGCAAAGGCCCCTGCTTTGCCTGCACATGCCTGCTGCCAACATACTCCTTTCACTGTAGTGATGAGCAGCCTACTTGCAGTCCCCTGACCTCACCCCTCTGTTACGTTCACTATGTGCTTTCTTCTTGGAGAGTCCTCTTCCCCTACGTAACTTGTCCTTCAGGACTCAGATTGAGGGCCATTTTACCTGGGAAAGACTTCCTCATCTCTCCCTAGGCCAAGCCAGGCTCCCTTCTTCTGGACCTCCCCATATAAATGTTGGTACTTGTCCCAGCTATACTGTCAAGGCCAGTTTTTAATCTCCTGATCAAGAACATCTCATGGGTTTTTCTACTGCATAGGCCTCCAAGACAGCTCTTAACTCTCTTCTTTAGGGCATACCCCAGGGACTCAAACCATTTCCCACTCCTCTCAGCTCCCAGTCCCCCACTATATCCTCTAGGTTCCCTTCCCTTTATGTCTTGGCTGAAGAGGGACACAGCCACCAGCATCTCCCATTTTGCTAGCCCCAAGGTAAAGCACATAACTTCCTTTCTCTCTGGTGGTGTCGCTGCTAACCACTACTAGGAAACAGAAAAATAACAACAAAAACAACTACGTGAGAGAAGAATCAACACTACTGTGATCCCTGAGTCTCCCCACCCCGACTCCCTTCTAAGGTAGTAATTGGAAACCCTAATGGCCTTCATCTTGAGCTGTCACTTCTTGAGGGTGCAGCTCACCAACCATCTTGCCCTCTGAGCCTACACTTAAGGCAAGCCATTCGCGTCCTATCTTCCAGAGGCTACTCTTCCTAGGCTTGGAGCTGGCTTTGGGCCAAGACGCAACCCACACTGAAAAATGAGTGCTCCCTGGACTCAGGGGGGGAAATTAGCATCTCTGAGGCTGTACAGCAGACTGAGTGGCACCTAATTAGCTCACCAAGCGAATGCTCAGGTATGTCCTCATACTCTCTGACTACAAGGCTTCCTTGTGGCTAAGAACTTGGTCTAATTCATCTTTATATGTCTACTCTCAGACAGTGGCAGAAAACAAACATGTTTAGTGAATGGATTTCTAGAATCCGAGCAATGTAAGGCAGGACAGGATGAGTGCCAAGTAAGTGGTTCACACAATAGTTAAGGAGAAGCCAAAAGCTAACAAAGACAGAAGAGGGACAAATCAAGTTTGGCATCTAGATCTGAAAACCAAGCTTCTCAGTTAGGACTGCAGTACAGGGAAAGGATCTTGGGGTTTGCATATGAATGGCAATGGCAGCAAAAGACTTGACAGATGTAGGGGGTGGGGAGCAATTCTGGTCCTGGGTTAACGACTTCATTCCTAGAAGTGGAGGCCACACAGTGAAGGAGGCTGGAGTTCTTTAATCTGAGCCCCCAGCTCAGGTTTAATCTGATGAGACCACAGCACTCAACTCCAGGCACTGGACTTTCAGGATTCTGGCAACTGAAACACGGCCTTCGGGGCCAAGTGGCAAAGAGCTGCAGGAGCCAAGTATGTAACTGCTGTAAAAACTGCAGACTTTTTGTATAAAAAACAGTAGCAACCAAAACAAAAGTAGGAGCAGGAGTGCTATCTTCAATTAGCTGTCTTCAATTGCTAATTTCAAATGAAAGAAAGCTTTGGGTTTTTTTCCTGCATAGCTAGAAGACAGGTGTTAAAAAATCCTGGCGCAGTATAAGGAATAGTTAATAATTACAACTAATTAAAAATGACTCAGGTTAATTTTTGTCAAGAGGCACTTGAGCCGAGGTTAAACAACAAATCTGGGTTTGAATCCCACCATATGGCCCTTCCTGTTGTGGGCAAGTTACTTAACCTCAAAAAGCCCCCTTTTCCTTCTCTGTAAAAGGAGGGAACAAGATCCCCTTTGCAAGGTTGTTAAAGACTAGAAATAATATGTGAAAAGTATCTAGCAAGTGGCCGTGTGAGCCATTATTACCACTCTTTTTTTTTTATTGTTCTTTTACTATGGTTTTATTAGGACCATTATTACCATTCTTCAATGAGCTCGCTGCAGACCTCCAAGTGATTTGGGTAGGACTGGGCCAGGTGACCCATAAAGCATCTTAAGATAAAATTTTGATTTGTTCCATTCAGTGGAGGAAGGGGCAGAAAGCTACACTGAGGCAGGACTTAGATTTGGAGCTCGGGGTTGAAGGGTTATGATGGGGGAGGGGGTTGGTACAGACGGGCTCAGCTAAACAGCAGGCTGCAGAAGCCCTCTGCCAGGCACACTAGAGGGGCCCTCTTAGCAGCCAGGACATATTCCTGAGGGGCTGGCTGCCTGGAGTGGTGGGATCCAGGGCCTCTGAATATGCACAGCAGCGTTCACGGTGCTGGGGAAAACCCCAATTCTCCACCAGCAGCAGCTTGTCACAGCCTAAACCAATAGTAATTCCACTTTACATGTATACGTCACGATGTAGCAATTTACCAAGTACCTGTAAGCAAGGCTGAATGTGATTTGACCCCTATCACACCCGTGTGTGGCAGCAGGGCACTAACCACCCATGTGGCTTGGGTAACAATGGCTCGGAGACCGGGCAGCTTTTCTGCTGTCCGATACCTGGTCATGGGTGGGTGCGGGACTGGAAATCTAGGTCTTCGGAAAAGACAGGTTTCCTCAACTACTCATCGACTTCAAGAGGCAATGGCTGGAGGGAAGCGTGCAAAATTACTCTGCCTTTCCTTTCTGCATCTCCAAACGGATGCTGAACTAGGAATCCGACAGGACACACACAGAAGCGCCGAGCCGGGCAATGCCAAGTGTGTCCGCCGGGCAAGCCGCGGAGCGGCTCTTGGAGAGGGAGCTGGAAGGGAAGAGGCGGGGGCGGGGAAAGGAAGCAGGAAGGCGTCTCGGCGAGGCGATACGCCGAGCGCCCCGCAGCCGGGCAGCCGCGCTGCTGAGTCGGGCAGCCGCGCTACCTCACTGCATCGTCACAGCTCGACGACACGGGCTCTACTACCGTCCCCACTTCGCAGATTAGAAAACTGAGACCCAGAGAGCAGCGGGGACCGGCCCAGGCCAGGACGGGCGGGAGCAACAGCCAGGCTGCAGGAACACCCAAACCGCCGAGGTCTCCGCCCCGCCACCCGGGTGGCAGCCCGCGCCCGCCGGGGCTGGGCGTCCGAAAACCTCCCGGGCGGCACGCCCACCCCGCCCCCGGCCGCCACGCTTCGCCCTCGGTCCCGGCGGCCCTGCACCCCGCCTCCCCGGGACCCTCCTCCCCGCCGGCCGCCTGGGCCGGGTCCAGCGCGCAGCCCGGGCCCGGGAGGGAGACCGGCGCCGTAGAGTCGGTGTGGCCGCAGGCGGCGGCGGGGGCTGGCGCGGGGAAAGGGGTCCCCGGAGGCGGCCACGCGCCACTTACGCGTCGAACTTGTTGTTCATCCTCTCGTCGTCGCCACTGCCTCACGGAGTTGACTTCCGCTCCGCCGGGTCCCTCAGCCAAGGGCCCGGCTACTTCCGGTTGTGCGGAGCGCCTCGGAACGTCCGCGCGCCGGGCCGGCTGCGGGGCGGGAAGCCCGGACTCCTGCCCAGGGCGGCTGCGCGGAGGCGGCTGGACTGCGGGCTGCCCCCGCTGCGGGCGTCGGCGCGGTCCCGGGCAGCCCCTCGCCTGCCTGGACGCCCTGCGGCTCCCAGGAAGCACTCCCGGCCAAGCGGCCGGCCCGGGGCAAGGCGGCGCCGCGGTGCTGACGGCGGGGCCTCTGGGTCGGCCGGCCTCGTCCGGATCCCGACTCCAGCCCCAGAGCGGGCTGCACGATCCCGGACTCCCTTAACCGCCCCGGGGCCGTTTCCGCTCTGGGACTGGGGCTACTGTATACTCTAGTGTCTGCCTCTGCGGGTTGACGTGTAGATGGAACTGGGTAGCGATGTCAGGGGCTAGACACAATAAGCCTCTATACATGGTAGTTACTGTTTTGCTTTTTTTGGTTTTTTATTAGCTGAGCCATCCTGCCACCTGTTGGCAGCTCAGCGGCAGCTCAGCTCCGGCGGGGAATCGAACTGGTGACCCTGTTGCTCAGAGCTCGCACTCTTGAGCGAGCTCTTCACAAACTGAGCCACTTAGCTGGCCCGTCGTAGTTGCTGTTAACCATTGCCTACTTGTGCGGAGAACTACAGCTAATAGGCTCCGCCCTCTGAAGCAGTCAGAGAGGTTGAGAGACTCATCCCGGGTGACACAGCCAGGAAGAAGCCAACAGGAACCAGAGCGGGTCCCACCATCATCAGATTGCCTCCTGGACTCAAGTCTCTGCTCCAAACACACAGCGGGTGCACGGGGCACACAATGGAGTAAAGGACATGAACCTGCTGGTGGCTGAGTCCCAAAGCCAGCGACCCTGAACTTGGCCGAGGGGGTTCTTTCAGGGACCCTCTCCCCTTCCCCCACTTTATATGCCACTTTCACATTTGTGAATCACCTTCACCAGTGCCTTTGATCCTGTGATGAGAGCAGATCGGAGTTGATATCGGTGCCCATAGTCACAGGTGAGGAAGCAGGCTCAGGGAGCACAAATGACTTGCCCAAGTTTACCCTCTTGTCACCAACAGCTCAGACCCCCAACTGTACTCTCTCAAAGCAGGGTCTTGCCTCTCCCCCAGGAAGACATGTCTGCTGGCCATCATTTCCCAAGTGGGGTCAAGGGAGGCTGGTCAGTGTCTCCTCCCTGAAGGCAGGGCCCAGCAGTTCCCCCTGTAGCTTCCCAGCCTCCCTACCTCGCTCTTCCTTAACATCCTGTGGGGCCAGTGCAAATCCCCCAGCCTTTGTGAAGAGAAGGAGGAGGGGTCTGTTTTCCAGCCTGTGTCTAAGAGTGTCTAAGGTTGGGTCAGAATTGGTAATTCGGGACTCCAAACGTTATTTAGCCGCCAGTGTTCTGGGAAAGCCCCTCTTACTCTGGGCCCCAATTTGCCAATCTGAAATATGGGGATAGACACATAGTGATTCTTGCTTTTCCATGATGCTGTGAGAAGCTCTTATCTTAACAACGAAAAAAGATAATAAAACTCGTGAAATCTTCTGTGATCAATGGCAAAAAATGCACATGAACAGGAAGGTCACTGGTGCAGGTGAGTGCTGCGTATAGCACCCAAAGGCAGGGGAGGGAGAGAGCAGCTGGAGTGGGCTGCTGCTCTTCTTTTGAGAGAGCGTTGGTTGCTATTCTTCACGTTTCTCTTGACTTCCCTCCTTCAGGAAGTCATAAAAAGGAAGGGAGGCCCAGGCCTGGAGGGATGCTACCTAGTTGGGAGCATCATGCAAAAAACAGTTTTTAGGGCTTCAAAAATCATGGGAGCTGATCGTGCTTACTGAAGTGAGGGGAGCGCCGGGATTAGCCAGCCACTGTCACACGGATGCTGACCCCCGCAGCACGCCCTGCCCTCAGCCCATCCCCAACCACTCCAGGACTCTAGCTCTGACTCTTTATTTCTCCAGCTTTTCTCAGGGCTGTTTGGCTTCCATGGCCCTAAAGGGTGGGTCCCAAAGAGCACACTTATGACCTCAGCAGAACAAAGCCGGTAAGACTCCGCATGGCTCACAGCGACTGGTCGATTCAGTCAGGCAGGTAGGGGCGGGGGTCTCCAGGGAACGGCAGGGCAGGCGCCTGGTTGTAGTGGGCCATGAGGAAGATGCCAGCCGTGCCGCAGACAAACAGCGAGAGCATGGCCAGGAAGCAGACGCGGTCCAGCACGCGTCCCACCAGGAACCACTCCTCGTTTCCCTGAGGGTGGGAGGCAGGGTAGGATGACCAGGGTGGCGCCAAGCCGGCCCTGGATCCCTGAACCATCCTTGGCCTTCCAGCAAGCCTCCATTCTCCATTTTTGGGGGCCCTTCTCACCTACTTCCAGACCTCAACCTGGCTTCTTCCATGGTCCCCTGGCCCTATCCTCCCCTCCTCCCCACTCCTAATTCTACGTTTTCCATCCCATTGCCCTACCATGACCACCCCATTCATCCTGACCCTATGTCAGGTCCAAGTCCCTCACCAAATACTCAATCCCCCTTCCCACCCCAAACTGGCTTACACTGTCAAAGTGACTCTGTTGGTGTCGGGCACAGGCAATGAAGTTGCAGGCTTCCACGCAGGCCTGGATGGCTGGGGCAGCCTGCTTCAGACTGCCACACAACTCCTGGCTCTGCCCTGGCTCCGGGCCTTTCTCTGATGCGATGACAGGGTAAGGTTTTGGGAGTAGGATGGAGGAGAAACGAGCAAAGAGGGTAGCCTCTCCTTAGGGACCCCAGCCCCTCCCCAACCTGGACGCTTGCCCAACACTCATCTGCAGCGCCTGTTGCTTTGGCCAACAGGCAGCCCTCCCCATATGGAGTCCCTAGGGAAGAAAGTCCCCAGTGTCACACTCTGCCTCACCTAGTTTCTCCAGCGCTGCCCTCACCAGCCCGTTGCGCTGCCGCTGCCGGAAAAGGACTTCACTGCGAGGCAGGCAGAAAGCCGCCTCGTCCCTACTGGTGATTGACCACCCAGTGGAAGAGCCGTTCTGTAGCCGGGGCCGGGTGTCCTGCACAGCTGCTGGGGCCAGCGGGCGAATGTGCATCCGCAGCAGCTGGGGCAGGAGCCGCAGGAACACCTGGAGAGGGGATGGTCTGGGTGGCTTCACTTGGCAGCCAGGCTGGGCTTCAGAGCAGAAGGTAGAGGTTGGCATAAAGGGCTCATGCTGCCAGAGGTCTGGAGGCAGCACATGAGGGGCAGTGGCTGGCCCCGATACAGGTCGGCTGTTCTGTGCCAGGCATTGAGACCAGGTCCCCAAACGTTTGTGCACATCAGAATCACCAGGGCACTGGTTTCAAGCACAGGTTCCGGGGCCCCACCCCTGCTATTCTGGCCCAGGATAGGGTGGGGGTCCTGGGAATATGCATTTGTGACAAGGACTCCAGCTGGTGACTGTAGGTTGGCTGCAGATTACACAGGCTCTGGAGCCAGACCGCCTGGTCAGAATCCTGTGTCCTCCACTTTCTAGCTGTGTGACCTTGGGTAAGCTACTTAACCTCTCTGTTTCCTCATTTGTAACATGGAGATGATACTAATACCTACTACATAGAGGTTTTATAACGATTAAATAAGTTAGTATGCATAATATACCTGCCACCTGGTAAACACTCTGTTGTTATTAGTCCATTTGGGCACATGCCTCAAGATACACACAAGGGCAGGTTTGCTGCTAAATGTGGCAGGTGAGGAATATGAATAGGGACAGGGTTGCAGAGGAAGGTGTGTGGGAGTGGAGTAGGCCAGGGAGTGGGCAGGGAGGGGCCTTGCCTTGCGGACCCGGCGGGCCATGGAGTGTGTGTGTGGGGACCGCAATGACACGTTGAGCACGACCACAGCATTCACGACAATGAGGATGGTCACCACCAGGAGGAAGGTCAGGTACCTGCCAGGGTGGGGTAGGCATGAGGCAGGCTGGCCCTCGGGCACTGCATCCCCAGATGCCACCCCCACCCTTAGCAGCTGCTCTCCCCAGATCCCTTGGGGTGAGGGGCTGGCATTGAGAATGGCGGGGGTGGGGGTAACAGGAAGGCAGTGCCCAAGCAGGGGGGCATGAGGTGGGCAGCAGGCGTGAGGACCAGTCTTACTTGCTGATGAGTGGCACTGCCTGGGAGGTCTCGGGCACCTTCTTGGCCACAAGGAAGAGGAAGACAGTCTGAGCCAGGAGCACGTTGATGGCGACGGTACACTTCTGGCCACCCGCTGCCCATGACAGAGGCCCTCAGAGCAGGTCTCAGTCTCCCTGCTGTGGGGCACCTCCCCCCACCCCACAAGGAGCCCACTGCCCCTGGGGCAGTTCTGTGCCCTCCCAGCCGTTCCCTGTGCTGCCAGCCGGGGCCATGGCTCCCCTCCCTCGGGCTGCGGGTACCCTTGGCAGGAAGGAAGTAGATGAGGATGGCGACAGAGGAGATGAGGACGCAGGGAGCAATAATGTTGATGACATAGAAGAGGGGCTTGCGCTGGATGAGCAGGTAGAAGACCACCTTCTGGTGGCCCGCCTCCTCGGCCGGCGCCGCCGCGTCCAGCAGCATCTTGGCTGGCCGGTGCCGGATGGCCCACTCCCCGTTCTCTGTGGGCGGCAGGGCGCGGTGGTCACAGGCGCCGGGCGGACCCCCGCAGCCTGTGTGACCCAGCTGGCATGTGCCCAAAGGAATGCCATTGAGGGACAGAACCAGAGTGAAAGATTGTATACTTAATCCTCCTCCCTCCAAAATGGGAGTAATTATCATGGGGGAAATCAGAACGTGGTGGGGCCTTTAAAGAAAAAACGTATTTTATGGTTTACTATAGTTTCCACTTTGAGTCATATGGGAGAGGGCGTGACCTTGGTCTTGCCCTGCGTCCCCAGCCAGGCCCCGCAGGGGCCCTCGGTGGAGGTTACCTGTGAAAGCCTCGGGGTCAATGAAAATCCACTCGATGGTCTGACCCTCTTCCTGGCTCAGCTGCAAATTGATCTCGTTGGTGCTGTAGGTCTGGGACCTGGTAGACAGGGGAGGGAAAGAGGGTGAATTTGAGTGTGTGTGGACCCACCCATGAGGTCACACTAGACGGTCATCTGAGGGCAACCATGGGCAGTTTTGCCTCAAAAAGTGCAGCCAAGATTTTCTGAGTTCTCCACAAAACCTAGCAGCAAGATGAGAGGCGACTTAGGCTCTTTGGGATCTGGGGAAGTTTGAGTTGAAGGGCCAGGAGGCTGAGGGTCAGTGCAGTCGCCTGGTGTCCAAGGGCCCCGGGGCCACTCTGGGTTCTGCCCTCACACTGCCTCCAGGGCAGGAGGGGCCGAGGGTCAGAACAGAGGAAACCTCCTCCTCTGCTTCTGGGGTCTGTTCACTGAGGAGAGTTTCTCTTCAGGGTCTCCCTGTGAAAAGACTGCTCCTCTAAACTAGGGAAGACCCTCCCCCAGACCCCCTTCCCACATTTATGGATGAGGAAACTGAGCTACATTAATGTCTTCCCCTGGGGCACAGGCAGGGTCACAGAAGCAGTGAAGTTGGATGAGTGAGAGGACTGGGACTTAGCAGGGAGGGGCACGGACGTCTTTCAGGTGTCTGGGCCTGAGATGAGCACAGAGGCCCAGACAGATGGAGCCAGGCCCCCAGCCAGAAGCCACATGTCTCACCCCCTCACCCCTGCCAGAGCCCCTCTCAGGGCAGCTCCCTAAAATCCCCCCTCGCCCCAATAAGTGGCCTCACTGGAAGATGAGGGAGCAGTTCTGCCAGTCGAAGGGGAAGTAGGTGACGGAGACGGGGCAGGAGGAGCGGAAGATGGCGGGCGGCAGCCAGTAGACACAGCCATCAGGAGACACAAGCACGTTGCAGTAGAGGGCCACCTCGAACACGCCATCCACGCTGCGCACAGGCCAGACCACGAGGCTGAGGTTCACGCCCTCGACAGCCTGGCTAGCCCTCTGCTCTGCATGGATGGGGCCTGGCACGCTGACCTCTCCCAGGGCCATGCCACTGCCTCATCTCCACCTGGGCACAGGAAACCACCACCTCCCCCAGCCATCTCCATGCCACTCCCACCGCACCAGGCTCCTAGTCCTGCTAAGCCCTGCCCTTATGTCCGTTTGTCCCCCCCCGCCCCTGTGTGTGCCCTCTCCTCACTTGTTCTCCAGCACGACATCTGGCCGCCACACCATGGTGGACGGCACCCTCAGCACCCACAGGCCTTCGTAGTCTTGTGGGTCCCAGCGAAGGCGATAGTCACACCACTGCTGCAGGGGGATGGGGATTGCCAGGCCCCCGCTCTCGGTTGTGCCACACCCGCAAGAACAGGAGCCCAACCAGGGGGCACAGAAAAGGCAGGGTGGGGGGAGCGGGGGAGGACAGGCCTTGGGGCCCCATGGTAGGGGGCCCCGATAGAGGGAAAGAGGGGGGCCGAGTGGTCTCTTACCATCTCTATCCAAACATTGGTGGTGAGGGCCTCCTCTCGTTCGTTCTGGGGGTGCAGACCGAGGGATAAGGCCCCATCGCTTGCCCTCCCCAGATGTTAGTCCCTCCAGGCCACTGTTGGGTCCTACAGGACCCCAGCCTCCTAGGCAGCCTCCACGGGAACATTTCAGCTTCTTGGCGTCTCCCCTGTGCGGCCCTCCCCATCTTGGCTACTGGAGCAGGCCCCTCCCTCTCTCCAGCAGGTCCCAGAGCCTTGGGCCCTGGCCCCCTCCTCCATCGTCCTCCCACAGGCCTGTGGCTCACCAGGGAGATGAGGTTGGTGAGGGTGAGCTTCAGGCTGACGTTGACCACGTCCGAATCCCGCTGGGCGGGTCGCAAGTGGGGGTTGTAGTCGTGCATCAGGTCCGCCAGCAGACGTGCTTCCTGGTTCCAGCTCTGGGATCCTGCAACAGACAGCCGTGAGCCTGGGTGCAGTGGCTTTGGGGCAATAAAAGAGGAGACCATGAGAGGATGTGACATGGAAAGGCAGGGAGCTGGGGTTGGGGGCAGGCTCCAACCCTCCAGACCCTCCATCCCCTAAGGCCTTGGACCCCCGCTCCAGGCTTCCCCAGGCCCACAACCCCCTGTGTCCACACCCAGGCAGATAGCCAGCAGTGGCAGGAGGAACAGCTGCCCCTGACCCCTGTGCATGGTGCCACAGCTCTCCACAGTGACAGGGGTGGGACGGCAGCTCCCAGGTCTCAGGCAGGGAGATGTACACTCTGTCTCATGTAACAGCCCACAACTCCCACCCCAGCCAGCCCTGCCAGGCCGGCCCAGCCCCACCAGCTGTCTGACCACAGCACTGTCAGCTGTTCCAGGATGGACACAATGCCAGGCTCAGGTTACCTGGGCTGGGGAGGGGACAGAGGGGCCCCGTCTGCCCTAACAGAGGTGTTCCAGCTTCCACGTCCTCTCAGACTCAGTTGTCCCAGCTCTCCATTCATGGTCCAGCTGGGGACTTGAGGATGTGGCAGAGAGAAGGTAGAGTGCTGAGGAAGGCTCCCTACTGCTCCCTCCAGTGGGTCAGGCTTCGGGGAGGTGTGAAGGCTTTTGGCTAGCTATGTTTGTACCTGAGTTTCTCTGTGACATGGGTGAGGACCCCAAACCTCTCCTATCAGCTTGACATCTTCATGGGTCACTCCCCTGGGCCAAGACACTAGAGGGTAAAATGCCTACAAGAAAGATACATCCCCCAGGTTTTGACATCTTAACACAAATTAGGGTCCCAGATCAGGGTCCTCCCTATCTCTGAGGCATGGGTCCCAGCCTGGTAAGCTTTACAGGAAGGAGGGCTGAGAAAGATCTGGAACTCAGGGCTCTTGTGAATAGGACAGCCCCTAAATAGGGGTGCTTCCATGGGGCTTCAGTATTTATCAAACCATCCACAGACTTATGGAGTCCCCAGCATGTGGCAGGCATAGCATTAGGCTGGGGGCACCCTGGATACACCTGAGCTGCTCACTTAAACTCACAAGGTTGAGGTTCCCCCAGAGAAGGGGACCCAGAAGGGCCGGGAAGCAAGCTCCCATTCACTTTGAGGTTTGTGGTTGGAGAAGGATGGGGCTGAGGCAGATCTAGGAGCCAGTAGCCATGACCACAGGCTCAGGCCACCTGTCTTCTGATCCTCTATTCGAAGCAGACAGGTCAGCAAGTCGCAGTTCATGGGCAAGACAGAAAGCACAGGTTCCCGTCCATGACACCCACCCTTCAGCATCCTGGGACATAGGATGGCGGATGCCTCTGACGGCTGCAGGAAAGCACCATTTCAGGACATGTCCCTCACCCCATAAGTGAATGATGTCTGTGGCGTTTCAATGTGTGTCAGTAAACCGGAAGTCAGCCGACGTGCCCTGTCCTTGGAAATCCAAGTGAAGTTGGCTCGGATCCCAGCTTCTTGCAGGAAGGCTACAAGTTCCTCCCGTCCTCACCAGGACTTGGGGGGACGGGGAGGCTGTAGTGGTGGCAGCTGCCTTCCTGGTCATCTGCGTTCACTGCGTTACATTGTGGGTGGCTCGACTGCCAGGCCCCACACTCAGTTTTTCTTGACACTCCCCTCCACCCCTAACCCCCGCCACACATCTAACCCACTTTCTCTGGAGTTTGCAAAGCCAATGACCCCTTCTCCTCACTTTGCCCGCCGGTGCCTCCAGACTCAATTCCCTCATCCATTTTGCAGAATAATATCTCTCCCCCGCCTCTACTCCCCTCCAAGACCACCCTTTGCCAAAGATCATTCATGGCTTCTGCTAAATAATGGACCACCTATCCACGCCCCCTCCCTCAGGACCACCCAGGCAGAGGTGGGTGACTTTCCCCTTTCCCACACGTGTCTGGGAGAGAAGAGGAAGATTATGGAGACTGACTTCCCTCTGATGTGAATTATGCCACCTCCCTACGTATGAAGATTTAAGCCCCTGTTTTCTCTCCTCTCTGCTCTTGGAGAGAGACTGAGAAGTCTCCTTGGTTCTCAGGAAGGTGCATTGTCTTTGAGGAGTGGTGGCTCCTGCCCTGGAAAGGTTAAGGGGGAGGTATGGGACCCATTAAGAGAAAACCTTCTGCAGGCGTCGTCCATAATCTCACAACTATTGCTCCATTACTACCTTCTACTCTAGAGGCTGAAAAAGCGAAAGGCTCATTTCCCAGGCTCCCTTGCAGATCGGGGCGGCCATATGATAACATCTTGACCAACGGATGTCTGCAGAAGTTGGTTAAGGGGCTTCAGGGGGAAGCTTTTGCTTTCTAATAAAAGGGATCAGAAATGGCTGCTTCTTTCCTGCCTTGAATATAAGTGTGAAGTGTGGAGCTGTGGCAGTCAGTTTGCACCCTGGGGCAACAAGCCTGGGTCCCTAATAGCTTCATGGCACAGCTGACCCAATGTTGCAACCGCTCCCTCACAATTTTTATTCTGTGAGAAAGAGGAAACCTTATTTGTTTAAACCACGGTTCTTGGGGTTTTCTGTTCCTTGCAGCCCAGTGCATTCTTTTTTTATTTTATTTTTTTTATTTTTATATTTTTAAAGATTTTTATTGGGGAACTGGGGGATGGGAACAGTGCTGGGGAATTGGGAAGGGGAACAGACAAGTTGCTGTCCTTTTGTTCTTCAGTCTAGTTGTGGAGGACGTTGCTTCACTGGCCCAAGTTGGTACCATTATTGCACTCTTCCCAGGCGAGGCAGATCAGTCGCCGGCCTCTGGACGGCCGCTCACGGCGGCTGCTGGCCGCTCACGCTGGCTGCTGGCTATACACGGTAGCCCATGGCAACCCACTGTAACAGTGGCTGCAGCCTACGCTGTCACTGGCAACTCATGGCAGCCCGGCTCCAGGTTGAGCTGTTGTTCAGCATCTCAGCTGTAGAGGGCAGTGTCACTGGCCCTCATATGTGGGATCCGAACCGGGGCCCTCTGGCGTCCCAAGCCAGCTCTTAAACCACCGCGCCACTCGGCTGGCCCCCAATGCATTCTTAATGGGTTAATTGCCCTTTGAAAGAAGGTGGGTGGCCCTGTGGACTTGGAGAGAGTGTGTAGGGACATCCCTGGCTTCACAGAAAGCTGGCCCTTGTAGGTGTGACTTCCTATGGAGGGAAGGAGATAGAGTTCCATATCACCCAGAGAGTGGACCAGTCCTGACAGCACCCTGGGGCTAGAGTGCTGGGGGGAGTGGGTACTGTTGGGGACCCACTCTGACTCCGGGAACCTATGCAAGAGGCACTTTTAGTGGGGCGTGGCCTTTTGGAGTTGTCTTTTCTGGAAGGCTCACAGCCACCTGAGCAGGGCCTGACAGCTGAGGAGTCACCTGGTGATTGGAATGTACAAGACCGGCTGCCAACAGCACCACTGTGTGGCAGAGAGAAGCAACAACAGTGGCCAAGGGATCTCGGTAGTCCAGGCCCCCTTTGGTCTTTGCCCAGGAGACAGGGGCCCTCCTAGAGAAGGTCCCTCCTGCTCACCTGATGGGTGGAAGTCCAAGCTAGTTTTCCTATTCAAAGGGAAAATATTAAAAATTTGTACCTCAATTGCCAGAGGGGAGGAGGGTTGGGGAGCTGGGTAAAAAGGTGAAGGGATTAAGAAATACAAATTGATAGTTACAAAATAGTCACTGGGATGTAAAGTACAGCATAGAAAATATAATCAATAATGTTGCAACAACTATGTATAGTGCCAGCTGGGTAGCAGACTAGTCAGGGGGGATCACTGCATGAACTATATATGTGTCTAACCACTATGCTGCACACCTGAAACTAATATGAAATCACATTGTCAACTGTAACTGAAAAAGATAAATAATAAAAAAAAGTATACCTTGAATTTGTGGACTCCTATTGGAAGACAGAAATAAGGAGGGTCAGTTTGGGTGTTCTCCCTTCAGTTCCATGGAAAGACTAAACATGTCACCATCTGTATACCTGGGCTCATGAGGTCACTGACTCCCTCAGGGAAATGGGCTGTGAAGACCTTACGCCTGTGCCTCAGGAGGTGAATAACTGGGCGCTCGATGCCTGCGGCAATCCTCTCAGTCACCATGCCAGGCTTGGATGCAGGAGACCCTTGTGAGAGCCCCATCCTCCCTGACTGAGGCCCACAAATGAGCAATGAGATTTAAAAAAAAACAACAAAACAAACTACCCCTTAAATTTGCAGGACACATGTAAGTACCTTCAGGCCGACTAGCAGTTAGATTTTCACAACACCCCACGTACGGGACGTATTTTACGCACATTTTACAGATGAGAAAACTGAAGCTAAGAGATGAGGAGTGGCTCATTCAAGGTCACACTACCCCAAAACTTTGTCTCTTAAATAACAAATATTTATTATCTCCCACAGTTCCTGGGGGTCAGGAACCCAGGAGCAGCTTAGCGGAGTGGTTCCGGCCCAGGGGCTGTCATGGGGCTGTGATCTCATCTGAAGGCCCCACTGGGGCTAGAGAATCCACTTTCAAGTTCACTCATGTAGTTGTTGGCAGAAGGCTTCAGTTCCCCACCTTGTGGGGCTCTCCATAGGGTGTTCATCATGCCAGCTGGCTTCCCCAGAGTGAGAGATCCAACTGAGAGTGAGAATGAGAGAGAGAGAGACAGAGAGACAGAGACAGAGAGACAGAGAGAGAGAGAGGCTGAAATGTCTTTTATGACCTAATCTCAGAAGTGACATAACATCACTTCAGCCTCATTGTATTGGCCACACAGATCAATCCTGGTACGGTGTGGAGCGCACTACATAAGGGTATGATTACCAGGAAGTGGGGATCACAAGGGCCATCCTGAAGGTGGGGTACCTCATATAACCTTATCTCCCAGCTCCTGTAGCCTCAGCCTTTGGTCCTTAAGATAAGATTGGTGGGGCTCCCTTTGGGGTAGAGTTGCCAGATTTAGCAAATAAGTATATAGGATGCCCAGTTCAATTTGAATTTCAGATAAACATGAATTATTTTTTAGTATAAATATGTCCCAAATCTTGCCTGGTAACCCTATTTTGGGGAAGAGGAATAGGTGCCCAAGAGGGGACACTCCTAGGGGAGGGCCGAGTTCTGGGGCTCTAGGCTGGTGCATGTGAGCTGAGGTTGACGGGCTGACCTCTGGCCTCTGTGGCAGCTGGGCCCAACCCTTCCACCCCAGTCCTCAGCTTCCCAGAGGGGCCCCGACAGAGTGGGCAAGACAAAAAGGGCTGGGAAGGCCATTCTGCAACCCTGGTGCTCCCACCCCTGCCAAAGCCTCTAGGGGGCCTGCAGAAAGAGGTGCCCCCAACCTCAGCTCCAGGTGGGGCATCAGAAGCCCAAGGCTGAGGGGTTGACAGGAGGGTGGCTAGAGGAACCAGGACGTGAAGGCACAGGATCCCACCTACTCTACCCCTACCTGGGGGAGGCGGAGGCCAAAAGAGGCCTCTGTCTTTCTCACAGAGGGGTCCCAGAAGGCCAGCCTGAGTGGCATCCTTCCTGGTCCCTGAGTCAACCCCCTGCCTCCCCCCAAATTGCCCTGCCCTACCCCCCAGCCTCTCAGACTTTCTCGAGTGGCTCCTGTCTTTATTTGCAAAGGAACCATTGTTGAGGACATGGGCTCCCTTCCTTGGTCTCAGGAAAGGCCAGCCCATCTCCACCCCAGCCTCGCAGGACCAATGGGGCTCAAGTCTCAGGGCCAGAAGCTGGTCCTTTCTCAGACACCCTTGTCCGCATGGCTCCCTTCCTGTCCCCAGCACCCCTCCTCCCCCCACAGCCCATTCCCTTCAAGCCAAAAGCCCCACCCAAAGCTGTCCTGAGAGCAGGGCCAGGCCTGGCAGGGCAGGCCCGCTCTAAATGAAGCGCTTGTCCTGCTCCAGGTAGGAGAAGGGGTCTCCGGCGAAAGGCTGAGGTGGAGGTTGGTTGTAGATGCCCTGCAGGAAGATCCAGGCAGTGCCCACCACCATGACGGGCGTCACCACAAATAGGCAGAGCCGGTCCACTGTGCAGGCCACCCGGCTCCAACAATCCTTCTCCTGGGGACGGAGTGGGGCAGCAAAGAGACAGGGTGAAGGGGGCCCTCAGACCACAGACCTACACCCCAAGCTGGGCTCAGTGACAGGCATGGCCTTGGCGTGTCTGTAGGGGCTTCCTCTGGCTTACAGCAAAGGGGACATACTGCGTGTCCCCAGCAGGGACACCCCCCTCCAGCCACAGGCAGGGCCGTCATTCGATCTGTCTAGGAGACCGAGAGCAGGGTCACAGCTTCTCTCCGAGCCACTCAGCACTCCTGCTAGCCCCTATGTGAAGTGGGAAAAGGTGCCTCTTTTGCAAGAGAGAATTTTAGAAAGTTGTATAATATTGAACAACCCTAGAAGGCTGCCAATATCTGGCTGTGTCTGGAGTATCAGGCTCGGAGTTGAGCAAGAACAGAAAATGACTAGCAGCTGGGAGAAAGGAGGAACCCTAAGGGATATACAAGGTGTGGCCCCGACGGGGTGGGGCTATGTGTCTGTGTGTATACCTGGGTGTGTGCCTGGCCCAGTGTGCTGCTATGGGGTTCTAGGCAGGGGCTCCCTCTCTCTGGGGGTCCTGGAACCTGCACCCACTGGGAACTCCATCTAAATTGGTATGTGTCTCTGAGGGGAACTGTGCCCCCTTAAGATAGGATACACTTAATCAGTGCACTACCTGAACACCTGTACATGGCAGCCTTGTGGCGACTCACCTCATTGTAATTGTTCTGGTCCCTCATGTGGTTGACAATGAAGTTGGCCCCATCCACAGCTGGCCTCAGCTCACTGAAGAGCTCCTGCTGGGCCTGCTCAGAGCTTGCTGGGGGCCGGCCTGTGGATACCAGGCCAGAGGTGGGCATGAGGCCTGCCCCTACCCCACCTCCCATGGCTGGGCCAAACCCCAAGCCACTGGGGACCCACGTGCAGTGGTGAGGCGTCGGGCCAGCCCATGCCGCTCTGACTGCTTCTCAAACATGAGGTCACTTCGGGACTTGAGCGAGAAGTACTCCTCGGCCTTGGAGATGTAGCCCAGGGAGCTGCTCCTCCGGACCAGGGTCCTGGGGCTGGGCTCGTCCTCTGCTGGGCGGGACATGTGTAGGAGCTCAGGCAGGGTCTCCAGGAAGAGCTGTGGCAGGTCAGAGGGACACAGGAAGGCCATTTAACCAACACGGGTCACCTTCACACATCCAATGTCTGTGACTCCCTTCCTGGCCACTACAAAATGCTCCCTAGCCTGATGCTGTCATTATTCCCCCTACTAATCCCCTACCGGTGGACACTTAGGTTGCTTCCAGCTCTCCCTTATTACTCTTAGCACAGAATAGAATTCATTTGTTAACAATGAATTTATAATATATGAAAAACAAAAAAAGGAAGAAAAATGCCCCAAATCCTGAGCTCTCTTCTGCAAATGCTTAAAGACTAAAAATGTTGGTAAACCACCCTCAGCTGTCCCAGAACAGCCAGGTGGTCCCCACAATGGACGAGAGGCAAGGGCAGCCCTCTCCTAGGCATCGCGCCCCGACAGTCCTCGCCTTCTTTGTAATCGAGGTATAACAAACATACAATAGAATGAGCAAATCTTAAGCATAGCAAATGAATTTTTACAGATGCATTCAACTGAATAAACACCACCCAGATATTGAACATTATCCCAAAAAGGGTCTGTCATGCCTCCCCACATCAATACCCTCTCCCCACCCCCCAGAGGTAACCACCATCCTGACTTCTATCACTAAAGATTGGTTTTGCCTGTCCTTGAACTTCATAGAAAGGAAATTGCACAGTCTGTGGTGCCTGGCTTCTTTCATGTAACTTTTCGAGGTGCCGGCAACGTGTGGAGCAGCTGGTGGTACTTTTGCACTCCACCCCATATGACTATTTCTCCAGGGTGAACCCCGCAGTGTTTTTACCCGGGTTCCTGTAGAGGGGCATATGGACAATTTCCAGCTTTGGGCTGCTGACAGCTCACCTTCTTGACCCCCTCGGACAGCACGTGGGTGCTGGGGGTGCGGAAGTGGATATTGAGCACGATGACACAGATCACCACGACCATGGTCACCAGCACCATGCCAAAGAGCAGGAACCTATAGGCACACACTCAGCCTGAAGCCCCTGTGGGGTTGCAGGGCCATGTGGGGCGCGGCAGGGCAACGTGGGGCAGGGCGGGGCATCACTCACTTGCCGATGAGGGGGATTGCAATCGATGTGGGCGGCAGCCTCTTGGAGATGAGCAGCAGGAAGACTGACTGTGCCAGGAGCACTGAGATGGCCACTGACGTCTTCTCGCCACCTGGGGGAGCCTGCACTTAGCTGTGACCTCTGGTCCCAGAGGGTCCCACTGTGGCCCCTGCACTACTTGTTCACAATGCCATGTGCCTACTGACATCATAGGCTATGGCGCTAGAGCGCCTAGGTTCAAATCCCAGTTCTGACACTTACTGGCTGAGTGACCCTGGGCAAGTAGCCTAACCTCTCTGTGCCTCAGTTTTCTGAACTCTTAAATGTTGTGACGACCAGATGAGAGAGAGTGTGTTAAACGCTTGTCACTCCTCCTGGCACTGGGTAAGGTGTTGTCGCTTAGCGAAGACCAGCTATCATCATTAGCCCATCCTTTGCCACTCAGCCCTCCTAAATTACAGGTCTGCGTGTCCTTCCCTGCACAGACAGCTCCAGGGGGTCCTCACGGCACCAGAATAACACCCCAGCTCCCGGCACGTCACTCAAAGACCCCAGCTCCCGGCACTGCCCTGCTCCTGCCGCCTGAATTCCTGAGTACACGTTGCAGAAGCTGATGTGGTCACGGGTCTGTGGCCCTGCTCCGGTGCCTCTTTTCTATCTGCAATGCCCCTCTCAACCCGTCTCCAGCTCAAGCACCGCCTCTTCCAGGAAAACTTGCCCCCTCCCACCACCCCCAGGCCACGCTCCTAGTCCCCTAGTTTCTACCCTGTCTGCCAGGGGCAGAGGCTGGGTGGCATTTGTTCTGGGAGTCGCTGTGCCCTGCTCATAGCAAACATTCTGGAGCCAAGTGAGCACAGATGACATGTGCCTTTCTAGAGCCAGTAAGTGTAGATGCATGCCTCCACACCCTGGCTCCCTAGAGATCCTGTTATCCACCCACTGACTCAACAGGTGATGGCCTCCTGTGTGCCAGGCCCACAGTCACATATGGTGACCATGACAGACCTGATCTCTGCTCTGGCAGAGGGACAGCCTAGGGTCCTTGGGAAGCCTGTCCTGAGCTGTAGAAGTGGGGTCCAAGAGGGATGAGACACCCAGGGGCCCTGTCCATTTGGGAGATGTTGGACAGGGTCACAGAGCCCTCCCCGCTGGCTGGCAACATGCTCCTCATGCCTGGACCCTGGGCAGGAAGTCCCAGGGATGGTGACCCCCAGGTGGCTGCCAGGAAGAGGTATGGGGCTGAGCTGGGGCCGCAATGCTCTAGTGCCCTCGGGGAGGGCGTTGAGGCTCACAGTCGGCCGGCAGGTAGAAGACCAGGTTGATCATGAAGGAGATGAGGACACAGGGCACCAGGATGTTGATGATGTAGAACAGAGGCTTGCGGCGTATGATGAGGTAGAAGGTGACATACTGGTGGTTGGGACTGTCCAGCGGGACACTGGGGTCCACGTTGACCTTGGCCGGCCGGTGCACTATCTCCCACTCCCCGTTCTCTGAGGGCAGCACACAGATGCCTTGAGGTCAGGCTGGGCATGGGGGCTCAGGGGCGGGGCCTCAGCGCAGTGCGAGGGGTTGGTAGAACGAACCACGCAGAGGCACAGCCAGGTCTGTCTGTGGGGCCCTGGGGGGTCGGGGGGGGCACAGGTTCTGTTTGTGGGTCTTTCCCTGGGGATTGAGATAGCAGTTTTAATCTACAAGGTGGGTCTTTTCCTCTGGAATTGATTTTTTTCCCCCCTTGGAAAAAATAGAAGCTGAGACCATATTTGATTCAAATAAGGAGTCTTGGGGATAACAAAGCAGTGAGAGTAACCCCCCCCCCCGCAATCTTTGATGTACCAGCCTTGGGACCAGCAGGGTGTGGGTCTTCTCTGAATGGACAAGGTGAGCAGTGGGTCCCATAAAATATCTGAGCCTCGTCACAGATAGGGGATGGGGGGCTTTGGGAGGGGGTGACATACATCCCACCAGGATGACAGCTGAAGCCCCAACCACACCCCTGGCCTCCCCAGGGACAGGAAGGTTAAACATGCCCCTCATTTGTTGGCCACATTTATCCCCAGGGACCCTGCTCAGACCCAGAGGGTCTTCTGGTCTTGGCAAGTGCAGGGGGTGGGGCACTGGTGCCCGTCTGTTCTGGCTTTGAGACGCAATGGCCCAACCCGGGCCCCTTTTCCTTTCAGTGTGCTGGATTGGTGTCAGTAAGTGTGACTGTGTGTATGGGGGGGTGGGTTTGAGGGGCCTGCCTGCCCACCCACCAACTGCTGCTCCCAGTACCTGTGAAGCCCTCGGGGTCAATGATGACCCACTCCACGGGGTAGGAGCGGCCGTCTTCTTCCTCCTGCTTCAGGCTCAGGGTGATCTCCTTGGCTGTGTACTTGAGAGAACTGTAAGGGTAGTGGGCAGAGGGTAGTCAGTCTTCAGCCACTGGCTGGGGCTGCGGATGGGGGCAGGCTGGCACAGGAGAGGGAGAGGCCATTGTGGGGGAGGGGAGTTCGAATCAGGACCGAGCAGGGGTCTCTGCCTGAAGTCGCTTCATTCCCCTCCCCTGGCCGCTGGCAGGGTGCCCTGGGGGGAGGGGTGACTGGAGAAGTGGGTGCACCTGAATTTGAGGGAGCAGTTCTGCCAGTCGAAGGGGAAGTAGGTGACGGAGATGGGGCAGGAGGAGCGGAAGATGGCGGGCGGCAGCCAGTACACACTGCCTGAAGGATAGATCAGCACATTGCAGGAGTAGGAGATCTGGAAGAAGCCATCATTGCTGGGGACAAGGACAAGGGCCACAGTGAGCACCAGCCAGTTTGGACTGGCACGGTTGGGGGAGGCAGAGGAGGGAGGGTATTCAGAAGCTTGGGGCTGGAGGGGGAGGCTCAAGGTGCTTAAGGAAGGGAGGCAGAGTGATCAGGGGAGGCCAGCAAGGGCTGCGGCTCAACTTATTCTCCAGCACAATATCTGGGAGCCACAGCATGTCAGAGGGCAGGCGCAGGACGCTGATGTTCCCAAATTCTTTCTCATCCCACTGCAGCCGTTTGTCCATCCAGCCCTAGAAGCTGAAAGGAATGTCAGCAGTGGGCTCTGCTGTGGCCTGGGCTCCCTCACTCCTCCCAATTTCCCTGAGGGAAGACAGGACAAGGTCTAGGGCTGTGACAGAAGAGGTTTGGGAGAGGTGGGGACTCAGGTCTGCCATGTACAGCTGCGCAGGATGTGCACTGCACAACTATGGCAGCACTCTTTCTATGATGGACGTAGAAGACTTACATCTATATTATAAGCTGCTGACCAGTGGCAGGGAGTGTTTTCTAATAAAATCAGGATACTGTGACAATTTCCCCCCAGATGAAGAATCCTAATCCATTCAAAGTTTCTGTCTGGGCTGGTGGCTGCACTGGGTGGGGGAAGGGCAGCTGGGCCTGGGGTTTCTCTGTAGGCAGAAGCCAGCCCCTGCTGGAGGACAGTGTCTGAGCAGGCTGGGGGTCCCAAGCAGAAGTGGGCACAGGGGAACCTGGGCCCTGCACCCTCAGCCCCCAGCTCTCAGTGGGATGTTCTTACGTGCTCAATCCACACGTTAGTGGTGAGGGTCTCCTCCACTTCTTTCTGTAATCAAACAGGAGGGCTGTCCCCCAGGGGCCTGCACCATTGTTTCACATGCATTTCTTTCACATGCACACACTCACCAGGCACCTCCTCGCGGCTTCCACCCACGAGAAGCCGTGGCAACTGGTCCCACCAGGCTGCTGCCCCAAGCAACCAGGACTGGGTGGGCAGAGCGGGAAGCAGGGAGGGCACATGGCCTCTGAAGTATGTCATGGGTGTGATATGGGGGGCACTCCAGAGCTTCGGCTGGAGGGGAAGGGGCCTTAGCCTGAGACCTGGGCGGCATTGGGCACAGAGAGAGGCCAGAACACACTTCCGGGGAGAGGAGTGACCTTACACAGTCCCGGGGCCTTGCGCTTCCTCCACGGCCACCCTGGGGAAGCTGACCTTGCCCTCCAGTCCCCAGCCTCGCCACGGAGGGACCTCTCACCAGGGAGATGAGGTTAGAGAGGGTGAGGGCCAGTGAGATCTCCACGCTCTCCTCTTGGTTCTCTGCAGGCCGGACCTCCTTATTGTAGCCCTTCCCAAACAGGTGCTGGATGAGTCGCTCCTCCTCGTTCAGGCCCCAGCTGCCTGGGGAGGGCAGGGCCAGGGATGGACCAGGGGCAGGGGTTCAGGAAGGAAGATCCCCTGAGGTTCTGCTGGGCCATCGGGCTGGGCTGAGCACGGAGACCCAACCCCTCCCCAAAGTGGGGCCCTGCTGGTCAGGGCCCTCCAGAGAGAAATGGCAGCAGGGGTGGGAAGGAGGCCTGAGGCTGGAGGAGGGAGCACCACGTAGGAGGCGTGGGGAGGACCATGCAGTGGGGTACCCTGGTGGGCATCCTGAGGGACCCCTCAAGATGGGGTGACGTTCACTCTTACCACAGACGACCAGGGCGGCCAGCAGCCCCAGCGTTAACACAGGCCCCTCCATCCTGTCCCTCCAACCAGGTCTTGCGTCTGCCCCTCCAGTCCACAGGGCTGGGGAATGTGGGTGGGTGGCAGAGGGGACAGGTGCAGAGTGGGGGAGGGACAGGGCAGAAGGAAGAGGCAGCCAGTAACGCAATCTGACACCTCTGGGCTCTGCTGCTGGGTAGAGAACCAGGGGCAGGTGATGAGGGGGTGGGGACAGCGACTAGCCAGCTGGAAGGAAACCCAAGGACATGAGGCAAAGATCCCAAGCTAGACTCCCCACTGCTAGCTGTAGGGGTGAGGGCTGGGTGGCAGCACTGGACACTGGGGATAGTGCTGGTCAGCCATGGATGGGGGAGTGGTGACAGGCAGGTCAGCTGCTGCCATTTCTTGGGAAGCAGACACGTCTGCTCAGATGAAGGGCTTAGCTGCAGCCCCTCTCTAGTGTCTTGGTGACCTGTCAACTGCTTCTGGAGGCTGTGCCCTGCACAGGCCTTACTCCCAGAGGTCTAATGTCTATACCCATCCAGTTACCATCTCAAGAAAGCTCCAGAGTTGTTTCCATAGATCATAAATAACGTTTATTAAAGCAACTGTGATTTTTTTGATGGTGCACCTGGGAAGATACAGGGGCCCAGGACCCCTGTCCTCCCCCACACACCCAGCCACCTGTGGTAGTGACAGTTTGTCATCATATTCCCTGAGCTCTCCCAGCCCCTGGGAACAGTAGGTCCTGACCAAGGGCTGGGGGCCCAGACATGGCTCATGGCCACCTGGCTGGGGAAACCAGAGGGCCAGGTGGGTGTTGCTCCTCCTCCCCCAGCCTCCTGCCCTGCCTCATACCCATCTGGCCTCCCTTCGGCTCTGCCTCCACCTGAGCAGCCAAGCGGAAGGTCTGCAGGGCCTGCACCAGCAACCGGGGAAGGCTTCGAGCCAATGTGGCCGGCTCCAGGCCCACCAGGCCACTGAAGACCACGTGCTGACCTCCCAAACCTGCCCGAACCCAGGCTCGGAACAGCCCTGTTATCGTCTTGGAGCCCAGATCTGCCAGGACCTGCAGAGGAAGGGGGGTACGCGAGGGCCCACAACCCCACTCTCGGTCCTCTCCTCCTGGCTCCCCAAACTCTCACCCAGGTCCATCAGCCTTCCTTACCCCCCAAGCCCTGCACACTTCCTGGTTACTTAGACACCCCAAAACCCCTCCACTCACACTTCCCCCTCCCCACCACACCTTCACACCCACCCAGCACCCCAGCTCACAGGCAGCTGCCCTCCCCACCCCCTTCCCCTTAGACTCCCCACCTTCCCCCCAGGCGGCTGGGGGAAAGGTCCTCCCTCCTGCTGGGGAAGGTGGCCCTCTGTCCCCCTACCAATCCAGGCTGACCCAGGTCAGCTTTCTGAGGCCGCTGTGAAAGAGTCTGGGAAGCCTGCGGACCTACCTCCTGAAAGTTCATAGCCAGGCGCTCCAAGGGGACCTGTAGGATCCAGGCATGGGTGTCCTGGAGGGTGGCCAGCTTCTGCCGCAGGGGCTCCAGGCCAGGGCAGCCTGCAGGAAGGGACAGGCCCAGGAATAACAGAACTGATACCAGCACAGTTTTGGGGTGGGTTCCCACCAGCTCAGGACCACCTGGGGGCGGGGGGAGCAGACTTATCTTCATGCAACAGATGGGGGAAACCACGGCTCAGAGAGGTTAAATGATAGCACAAAGCCGAGCATTTCCTGACACTGATGAGGGCCCAAAGCCACAAGTAGCCCCAAAGAGTCATCCCCTTGCTTTAGGGGAGGGGGAGAGCGCATCTGCCCCTTTCCTCATGGGGGTAACTGCTTCTCAGTTCAGATCCCAGAAGAATGCCCTCCGGGCCCGGGTTAGCTAGCCCTTGGCCTACTCCCTTGACGATGGCCGGCAGGGGGCGTCATTACCGTACGCGTCCCTGCGCTGCTCAAGCCTCGGCTTCGAGATCCGCGCGCCTGCAGCCCGGGATCCTGGGGAGACGCAGGATTAGGCGAAAGCCTCGGCGGCGCAGGGGTGGGTCCAGAGCTGGGCTGTAAGGACCCAGGGTACCTGCGTGCAGCCGCTGCTCGCGGGAGGGGTGCCTGGGAGGCTCGCGGAGCGACAGAGCGTGGCCAGCTAGGACTGAGGCGAGCCGCCGCTTCCCCGGGCGCGGGCGGAACGACTCCTGGGCGCCCCGCAGCAGCTCCAGCAGGGTGTGCGCCAGCGAGCGCAGCTCTGCCAGTAGGACAAGGGTGCGAGCGGCGGTCAGACGTGCGCCAGCCCCCTACCCCCGACCCAGCCCCGGGACACAGACTGACCGCAACGCCGCCGGCGCTGCAGGCACTGCTGGTGCGCCAGGGGCACACAGGCACCCTCGGGCCCCGGGCACAGGTGGGCGTAGAAGGCGCAGGGCGTGGCGGCGTCTGCCAGCGGCTCCTCCGGCGGGTCCCAGGCCAGAAGCTCCCGGCAGCTGGGCTCACGGTTGGAGGGGGCCGCTGCGAGGATCAGCAAGGGCCAGTTCACCGAGCTCCCCCCACCACCACGTTTGGGGCCCTAGCCCCCGAAGCCCTGCTCAGTTGGAAGACAGGCTTTCCCGGCGCAGAAGGGGGCTGGGAGGGGGGCGGGATGGAACTAGGATTGGACTTGTTCCGAGCTGTCGGCGGGACGCTGCTGGGGGGCAATAGGAATCCGACGCTCACCGCTCATCTGCTCCTGGAGCCAGTCCTTGAACACCGCCACACGGGTGTAGACCCCGGGCTTCCCTGGCTCTCCGCATCCATCCCCCCATGAGGTGACTCCGTACAGGACCTCCCTGGGGCGGGGGCCAGGCTCAGAACAGGTCAGGGGGCCTCCAGAGTCACCCTGCGGAGACACAAGTCAAGAGAGAGGACACTGTATCGACCCGACACCCCCTCATGTGCTAGCCTTATACCTGACAGGACAAAGCAGCTCTGAGCTCTACTGGGGTTACCACGCTTGTACCCATTTTAGCCTCGAGGACTAGAGGCGCAGAGAAGTCGAGTGACAGCCTGACTGTGGAAGGAAAATAGGCTGTCCCGCCGCTGGGGAGCGGCCCCCCCAACGCCCCTCTCCTCCATCAATCGGGGCTCGTACCTGGCATGAGTCGATGCCCCCGGCCAGATAACCGGCACAGAGCATGGTGCTGGGGTGCAGCCCAGGCCCCAGGGCCCTTCGGCAGGTGTCGGCGCTGAGCAGGGGCACGCGGGCCTCCCTCACCGCCTCAGCCGCAGGCCCGTCTACAGGAAAGCAGTGGAGGGGCCTGAGGCCTGAAGGGCCGAGGTCCTGATTTGAGGGTCCCCCGCCTCCCACTACCCTCTTTGGCTGCTCCCCTTTTGCAAGATCGACAGCATTAAGTGAAGGCAGCTGGGCGTAGTAGATCCAAGTCTTTACACCACGGCCTACACAAACTCCATCACCCCAGTCCTACGCACACGCGCGGCTCACCGGCCCTGCCCGTACCTTGGAAGAGGGCCCCCCAGCCCGCGATGGCGCAGGAGGTGCCGGCGGGGGGCTCTCGGGGCCCCTGGGGCAGACACACGGAGCGTGCCGCCCCTGCGGGGCTCGCGGGCGTCCACAGTTGCACCAGGGCGAGGTCATTGTGGAAGGTCCGCGGGTCAAACTAGGGAGAGAGTGACGGTGCCGTGTCAGTGAGGCGCGGGGTGGGGGGGGGTGCTGTTCCCAGCTCTGGGGGTCTGGGGGCTGCCCTCTCACCTTAGGGTGGGGCAAGATGCGATTCACCGGCACCTCCTCCGCTTGCTCGCCGCGTGGCCCTTCGGCCAGCTTCACCGTCCACAGAAGCTCGTTCGAGGCGCTGGGGGGCGAGTGGCAGGTGATACCCGGGACAAGGGTGTAGCAGGTTCCCTGGAGACTCTGCTCTCTGCCCACGGGCACCACCCAGCGATCTCGCACGCCTGGCTGGCTCCCTGCCTGGGGGCAGGGAGAAGGGGCCCGGGAGCTGGCCGAATGCGCGGGGAGGTGGGCCTGCAGAGATCCGAGCCCCGGCGGCGGCGCGACGCGGGCGCCTTGAGGCAGGAGAGCCCGGAAGGGAGCTGCCGCCGCCGGGGGGCAGCAGAGACCAGCCCTCGCGGTGTCACACACAATGATATGGGAGAAACAGGACCCCAAGTTGGAGACTCCGGCTGGGCAGGGGGCTGGGAGCCGAACCTACCCTGCGAAGCAGTGTGCGGCAGTGAGCACCCAGGACGCCGCCACCAGGACGCCGCCGCACAGAGGCTGCCCGCTGAGTTGTAGCCTCACCAGCCAGGGCCAGGCTCCGGGCGGTGCCGTGCTGCCCCCCACAATGCGGCCGTAGGCCTGGGTCACGTTTTGAGTGCTCCGGAGCCTCTCGCCACAGGGCCCTAGAAAGGCGGATGCGCTGTCACAGGGGACAAGTCCTGGCTGTCCTCGGCATCTAGGCCTCCCCAGGGTCCACCTGCTCTCAGCCCTGTCCCCTTGAAACTTTTCAGCCTCACCTGGCTCAGGTGAGTCCTGGAGGAAGGGGGCTTGAGGCCTAGAGCGCCCAGGTCCTGCTGAGAAACAGACCTTTGAGATTCACTGCCACCCCCCACCCTTCCTCCACCCCAAGCTGGTCCTGAGCCCTCTCTTTGCCCTGGGCTCCTTTTCTGTTACCCCAGCCCCTAGCAGTCAGGGTCTATTTCATCAGCCATACATTTCTCAATGTTCACCAAGAGAGCCCAGACCGCGCCTGCCCTCTGCCCCTGCACCAGCTGTGCCCTGAGCCTGGCATGCCCTTTCCACTGGGAGAGACCTTCCTGAGCAGTTGTCTTGGTTGCAGCCGCACCCAGTCTCTGTCTCCAAGGAGTCAAGTCTGAAGGGAGGGGTTGGGGTGGACAGGAGAATGGGCCCAGAGCAGTCAGCACAAGCTCACCAGGGCATGGGGTGGTATGGTTGGCACAACCTCGGCACTCATGCAATCTGTGCTGGATCTCCATCACCACTAGCTTTACTGCCCACTGGGCACTCTTCTGGGCAGTCTGCAAGGCCTTCGTCCCTTGGGCTGACAGAGCTGCTAGGACATGGGGCACAAGTCTTGCAAGGTTGTCCTCCTCGCCCCAGCCCCAAGCCCTGCCTTGGAAGACCCACAGGGAAGCAGGCTGGACTCCTGGTGCACTGGGCCGGAATGGGAGGAGAGAGAACCCCAGGACCCCAGGGCCCAGCACTCAGGGGATGGTTCTGGAGTCTCAGCCCAAGGTGTCTCTATAATTCAACTGAGCTGGGCTGGAATCTTTGAAAAGGACCCTTCCTTAAACACCCTGAAGGAAAAACAGCACCCAGAAGGTACAGAACCACAGAACTCAGACTTATTGACACAAAATGACTGTGGTTGAATTGCCCACCTTCGGGCCCAGAGAGCCAAGGAGACGCTGCTCTGGGCCCTTACCTTCGGGCTAAACCTGGAAACTTCTCTAATGCACACGCTTGCTGGCTCCCCTTCCCTTCCCTTCCTCATCCTCCGCCTCCCTCTCCTACCTGTGTCTCGGCCCGGCCCCTTCTCCTGGCAGGAGCAAAAGGACCTTGTGGATGGAGGTGGCACGTTCAGGTTCCCCTGCCTGGGACCCACTTCCTTCCTCTCTGACCCTCCCACCTCAGCTGCTCCCTCAGACCAGCCCGGGCTCACCTTGCAGGGTGCTGGGGGGCAGGCGCATGTACAGTGGGTGCCCCTGGGCAGATTGTGGGTCTTGGAGGGGCAGCAGTAGCAGCAGCACAGCCAGCAGCATGGTGATCAGGGCACCAAGCCTGTCGTCTTTTCCCCTTGGGGTCCACCTTCCAGGCACTTATCCTATGGTGCCTGCCTCCCGCTGCCTTTCTGTCCCTGGGCACTGAAATCTCGTTCTTCAAATCATCTGACACTATTACATCAAAGTTACCCGCTTCCCTTGGTTGTCCCTCACCTGGCCCTTAACTCCTGGAGCCCACAAGGGAATGGAGCTTGGGGGGCTATATAGAGGACAGTCTGGGGGGGTACATGGGAGGGGGGCCAGGGCTGGGGGACGGCACAGGGTAGTGGGTTCAACCCTCATCTTTGAAGTCTTGTCATCCGGCCCTGAGGCCCCCCTTCTGTCAAAGGAGCCCTTGTTTCTGCGGCTTCATCAAAGGGGCCTGGACAGGCCGGAAGAGCTGACGGTTGGGCTGGGGGCCAGGAAAGGGGGGCTGGTGGGCAGGTGTTGGCCCCATCTCCAGGGCTCGGATGGGGGGCTTCTCATCTGCCTTGGCTCCCTGAGGGAGTTCACAGCTATGCTGGGGGCAGACAGTCTTGGAGGGAGGAAGGCAGGGGGTGCCTGAGGGTCCTGGAAGTCCCAGCCCTTGAGGAGGTGCCTGAGCTCCCAGCCCCTCTGTCCCTAATTGCTTGGCAGCCTCCCTCCCCAATGTGGCTGTTTCTAAAGATGATCAAAGCACCCTAATTAGCACGTAATTGCCGTAATTGCCGCACTGGGGGAGTGGGGTGGGAAGAGGCAGAGGCAGGAAGAGGCTGGAGTGGCCCAGAGAGGAAGGCAGGAGATGACAGGCCCCACTGGTGGCCCAGTTCAGGGAGGACAGGCCCCAGCAGCTTCTGACGCTCTCCCAGACCCCCTGCTTCTGCTCAGGGCCCGCTCAGCCTGTCCAGCATTGTTCTCAGTTGCTATGACCTTGATCTGGCAGGAAGGAGTCTTCTGAGGTCTCACTGTGGGGCCACAAATGGGCAGCTCTTGGGGGACCGAGTCCCCACCTGGCATAGAGAAGAGGTTCTCTTGTGCCCCACAAAATGTCCTGGGGCCAAAACCAAATCTCGTCACCCCAGTTCATGCTGGTGACTGCAGGGTGGCTTGGGCAGGTCTGGTCTTCTTTCAGAGTGGATTCTGTCATGACATCTTCTTGTTACCACTGTACTTTCCTCTCCAGCCCTTGCTCCTTCTGCACAGGTGAACAAGCCTCTAATGGGAACCTGCCCCACTTCATAAGACAGAGCCCCGGACCTGTAGAGGTGATGGGTGAGAGGCAGAGATGGGGCAGCCAAATCCAGCAGCTTCTCCCACCTCTTCCTTCTAGCAGAGATGGCAAACGACCATTTTTCCTCCCTGAAGCGGTGTCCCATCATTTTGCTTCCCCACCTCTCTGGGCACTGAACACAAAGAGGTTCCCACCCCTGGAAGTCCACTGGAGGTGGCCACCCACCCATTGGTGTGCTGGAGTCGGCTCATACTGGCTCCTGAGAACCAGTCATTGGCATCTCTTCCCGTCTGCATTCAGTGACATCATGTTAGTGGCTTAAAGTCAGCCACCATGGGAGTATTTACACCCTGGACATCAGCAAATCCTGCAGATCAGAGCTCTTTTCCACAGGGAAACAGTTGTCCAACATGTAGCAGCACACCACTGTGCACACCCCTTCCTTCCCCAAGTACCCCCACACTTCCTGAAGATGGTATCTCTGATTCAGGAGTGCCATGAACATCCTGTCTGGGTATGGATTACTGCGAGTGAATATTATGAAGTTGGAAATTACTCATATTCATCCGAATATCTGTCCATCTAGATAGGATGTATATCTAGATGGGGTGGTAAGTATCCATCTTTTTACCCACGATCTCCAAATTCTTGGTTGAAAGGGTGTTAGTTCAACATGGCCTACATTTGAAGCATAAACAGAGGTTTGAGAAAATGTCCAAAGGAAAATTATCTGTGGTTCCACAAGACAGCCATCAAGGTACGGGACCCAGAAAGCAGAGAAGGTGGTAGAAATGCGTAGAAATGCCTTATAGGCCTCTGGGTGGGGAGCCCAACAGCTTAAATCTATCCTCCAAGCTCTACAGAGATTAAGGCCTGGAGACAGCCACCCACGATAGAGCCTCCTATGGACACTTCCCCTGGGGAATTCCTCGAGGGGAGAACTTCCTGTCCATTCAGCACTGATGTCCCTCAGCTGCTGGGGTACTGCCAAAGCCAGGTGGGTCAGGCCACAGGATCAGTACAGCCCCAGCCCCCCAGTACCTCCCCGGGTCTTCAAGGCAGGAGGCAAGAGAAGCAAGAAGACCTGGAGTTGCTGTCTCTTTACTGTCCCTTCTGCCCCAACTGGTAAAAACTCCAACATGGCCCCAAAAATATTAGGGACCTCACAGAATGGATTGCAATTCCGCTCAAACACTAGCTCCCCCTTGTCTGACTCCTCTGTCACTTCCCCTTCCGATGATTGGATCACAGCCCTCTCCTCTCTTCTGTATACCCACCCCAAGATCGGGTTAATTTCATCTACTTCCACAGGTCACCTCTTGAGATGGGCATCTAAATCCATGTTTTGTGAAATTATTTTGTTTATTACTGGTGAGGGGTACACTTGTTTTTAACTACTTCTCCCTTGGAACGTGATGGAGAGGCCTTCCGGCCACTGTCCCAGCATTTCCTCTCATTCCTTGTCACATCACCCTCTTGTGTTTTCTTCAGAGCTATCATTTCTCCGTTGCAGTCTGCCCAATGAGGTTCTTGCCTGTTTAAGAGGCTCGGTCTCCCACAGTCTAGTTGAGTGGGCAGTTCCTGCCACACCTCCTCCCCGACTGCAGGGCTCGCTGCTGAAACCCTGTCAGAAGCCACGCTCCCCTACACCCTCTCCTCCAAGGGGGAGGAGGGTCTTTGGGTAGCACAAAGTTGGTGGAGAGAGCATCTATCCCTCACTTCTCCAGCCAAGCTGGAAGGAGGAGTGAGGTACTCAGAGGAATCAAGGAATACCCTTCCTCAGGAATCAGGGGAGCTGGTAAGAGGGAGAGACTGGCTTGTCAGTGCCCAGTTGGAGGTCAGGTGAGCCAGAGGACTTGATGATGAGTCAGGGGCGCTTGAAGTGATGGTGGGGTGGAACATCTGAGTGGGGAGGGGTCACCTCCACCCACCCTGAGGTTCCTGGTCCCTAAGAATTTACAGAGGGCAATCCCACGTGTGCCCACAGGCCTGAGAGTGCAGATGAGGGAACCTTTATTGGGGGGCAGGTTGGACCCGCGGCACTGCTCATGCTCAGAAAAGCAGCTAGAGTAGTGGTAGGGTGCGGCTGAGGTTCTGGGGCTGCCTGGCCCGGGCAAACCAAGAGCAGGTGCCCCATCCTCTCTCCCCACCCCAACACTGAAGAACTGAGGGTGAGGGGAGACCCCCACCCCTTCTACAGCTTCTGAAGCTGCAGCTGAGCTTGGGGAGAGGAAGAGAGCTTTGCATCAAGTGAGAAACTAGAGTTTTCATGGGTAACACCCGGAGGAGAAGGTTCTAACCTGGAACGTGGGGAAGGCTCAGAATCTGATTGGATGTTGGGAAAGGAGCTGCTCCTTCCAGTGGGAAAGGAGCCTTCGCCTAGCACAGTTGAGGGCAATGCCTGGAAAAATTAAATTAAAATCTATATCCCAACCAGTCAAGAGCCCCAGGAAGCTGGCTAGAGCCCTCTGCAGTGTGAGCTTGTCGCTTGTTGTCTGTCTGCTGTAGGGGAGCAGGGCTTTCTGTCTCCTCCCCATGGTGCCCCAGCACCTAGGACAGAGCCTGACCTACTATTTGCTAAACAAATGAAGAAATGAGTGATTAGAACTGGTCCCTCTCCTCGTTCCAAGGCCGAATTCCCTGCGTCCTGCACGTCGGCCTCAATCCTGCCAAACTCCTCCCTAAACAGACCCCGCCCCCCACCCATTACCTCCCTTTCCACACAGGGGGCGGGGCCTGGTCTGCCCGCTTCTCATTCACTCCCACAGCCAGTCAGCCCAGCACTGGTCCTCTCCCTTGGAGTGTGGGTCAGGGGGGGAGAGAGGACATGTTCTGGGGGCCGGTAGGTACCAGCACTTCACATGGTTATCTCTGAACTCATGGAAGGAGTGTGGCTCAGGGAGGTCCCCCGCAGCTGGCAGATCTGAGGTCTCCCACTCTTCTGCTATTGCCCTGTTCTTTCCTTTTTGCCTCCCCATTTTTTTTCTGTGGGGAGGGTAGGATGACTGTCCGGGGTGCAAGAGGGATGCAGAAGGGATGCGAGGAAGTGTTAGTGACATTTGCAGCCCCTGGCTTCCCGGCATCCCCTTCAGGCCCCAGTCTCCTGCCTGCTGGAGGAGCTGGCCTTATCTGTTATTTGCTGAGCCATCTGTCCCGGCAGCCTTGGAGGCCACAGCTGTTCCACCTTAATCCCTCCCGCAGGTGGAGGCAAAGTCTCAGCCCCACCCTCCCACTTCAAGAAGAGGGAGGAAAAGAACCTTGGACCTTTTGGTCCATTTCTCTGGAAAACCCCAGCAGGCTCATGTCAGGAGGTTCCTATGGGCTTTAGTGACGTAAGCCAGCCCTGCAGTCTCCCCATTAGCGCAGAGCTCTCTCTTATACTCAGAGAAGGACGGTGTGGGGACCCTGAGCCTCTGGACATGAGGAGGAGACTTGTGCCCAGGGACAGAAACTGCCTCTCCGAATCTCTCCACTTGTCCTCTGGGCGAGGACCTTCTTTCTCCCTCCTCAGGACCCTCCATGTCATGAATGTGCTGGCCCCTCCCTCCATCCCAGGCCACCCTGACCTCCCGGGCAAAAGGGCAGTGGGAGGAAATCTCACCCAAGAGCTGACCAGTTCACCTTTGGGGGCAGTGTCCCTGGACAGGATAGTGGGACCTGCAGCTATGCCAGCTTTGCTGACAAGAGTGGCCCATTTGGCACAAGAGTGGCCACAGCCAGCCTCTGATGCACTGAAAAGTGAGGGAAGGTTGAAGTCGGGGGTCTTCTTGGGATGAGAGCCTGCTCAGGCCATGATTCAAAGCTCAGGCCTGGGGCTCTGATTGCATTTCCGGGGACCTTGTGAGATCCTCTTCCTGTGATGGGTTGAATTGTGTCCCCCAAAAGTTATGTGATGCCCTAGCTCCCAGGACCTCAGCATGTGACCTTATCTGAAAATAGAGTTGTTGCAGATGTAATTAGTTAAGTGGAGGTCACAGTGGAGTAGGGTTATATGTCCTTACAAAAGAGAAGAGGCACACAGGGAGAAGGCCCCCCAGAACAGGGGCAGAGATTGGGGAGTTATGCAGCTGCAAGCCAAGAATTGCTGGCAACACCAGAAGCAAGAGAAAAGCACGGAACAAATTGTCCCATACAGGCTTTGAGAGAGCACGCCCCTGCGGACACCTTGATTTTGGACTTCTAGCCTCCAGAACTGTCACAGAATTTCTCTTAAGTCCCCCAGTCTGTGGTAATGTGTGACGGCAGCCCCAGGAAACAATGCGCTTTCTCCTCTCTCAACCTCATGTTCCCAATCTGGAAAATGGGGTGATAACACCCAACTCCCTGGGAGGATTAAAGGACACCCATTCATCTCCCTAGACCAGCCTGGGATTATCGTCATCACTGTAATGTGTCGGAATGGATAGGATGCTATTATCCTGCATAAACAAGGGGAGGGCAGTGGGGCCTGATCCCGGAGGGAGCCCAGAGAACAGGTGAGAATGGGACAGAAGGCAGCAGCGGAGGGGGGGGGGTGCTCTCTAGGTTGTGTGTAGCCTGACCCTCAGAGGGTGTCTGAGCAGAGGGCTCCCCTCACCCTTTGGGGCCTTCTTCATGGATTGCCTGTCCCTGGCAGCTGGTCAACTTTGCTTACTGCTCTGACTTTCCTCATCCTTGGGGCTGAACTTGACTTTAAGGAGGGAGAGGAAGGGGTGCTGCGTGAGGGTGGGCAGTGCTGAGGTGGGGCTGCCCCCTGCAGTCTCCATGGATCTCTGAGAAAGGGGGCATCCCCAAACCTGCATGCAAGGCTCCCCATGGAGAGACCCCTGGCCTCCCCTGACTCTCACAATCTTCTGGGCAGTGGCCGCACAGCTGAATGCATTCAGTCCACCCTCCACGTGCCCCCCTTTAGAACCTGACCTTTTGGGCACATCACACAAGCTTTTCAGTCTCCACCCTTTCCTGTTCACCTCTTCTGAAGTGCTTGGTTGGAGGAAGGGGTCATCCCTGCCACCCTCCCCTCCCCCAGGCTCAGTCCAGCCTTCTCCAGTGGGGCCAGTCCCCTACCCCCATCACTGGGATCCTACAGGATCCTACAGGGCTCTGCTTTTCTGTTTTAATCATAGATTCCAACTTCTTTTTCTCTTATTTACTGGGGGGGGGGGGATGGAGGGAAGGTGAATTCAAAGGAATTTTGTTAAAAATACCGGGAAAACAGAAACAAAGGAAATACAACATTACAAGTCCAGATGAGTTGATGGATCTGAAGGTCTTGTGCTACTCAGGACAGCTGCCAGGCTGAGACCCCACTGCAGGGTGGCTCTGGGCTGGGTGTGCTATCTCTTAGGTTGAACCACATGAAATTGCCATTCTTTCCATCAAAATGATCAGATACGTTCAAAAGAGCGCCAAAACAGTTTAATTTAAAAATGTCTATTTACAAAGTGCCAGGAATTACATATTTCTTACCATTTAAACAAGATGAAAACTTTTAGATAAGGAGAGCATATCTAGGAACAATTCTTTTAAGTTGAACATGTGTATTAAGTTGAATCAATACCATTGTTCAAACTTGTGATAAAAAACAATGCAAACCATTTCACAATTTGGCCTGTTTCTTATCCTTTTTTTTCCCCCCTCAATCTTGCTGTCAGCTGTGTTTCTCTGAAATTTACTAATTTAATGCCTTGAATTTTTGTTATAATATTCACATTTCTCTTCCTACATGATAGATTCTCCTTCATCCATATTTTTATTCTTACTGCTTTCAGACTTTTATGTTAACATGAGAAGATCTTTTTAGAAAACACGGTCTCTCTGATGAAGAGACATTTACTGGAGTCACGTGTCTCTCTTCAGTGTTACTTCCATTTATTTTCTTTTGTTAAAATAAACTAAAATTCAATTTAATAAATTATAGTTAAAATATTCAATCGGATCCCTTCTTATAGCAATATTTCTATCAATTTATCCCTTTAAACTTCTATCTGCATCAATGCAAAAGAGACTTTTGTAAAAGGTGGTTATTCATTAATCGTGACTATTTCTGATAGATTTGTTTTTATTTTGTTTCGCTTGTTTCTTTTTTTGTTTTCCCACATTGCTTGAATTCTTTAAACCCAGCAGGTAGCATATATACAAACGCAAAACATGAAGAGTATGAAAGAAAAGTGCAAAACATCCAGTAGAAACCTTATCAACGATACAAAGCTTGTTGACGCAATATTTCACCCAATGAATATTAATGTCAAGGACTGGTTAATTATAGGCTATTTCACGTGGTCCCATGTATTACAGTGTATTAAACCTTTATCATAACTGAAGCAGGTGTTATCAGACCCATTTTACAGATAAGGCCATTGAGGCTCAGAGAAATGGAGTGATGTGACCAAGACATCACTAGAAATGAGAAGCAGAGATTAAAAACAATGCTGCCTACTGCTGAAGGCCACACCCTTGACCTCTGCCCAGCCCTGCCTCCTGAATCCACACGTGCCGCTTGACTGTGCTAACCTGTCGGGGTTTTGGAGGCTTCAACACAAAGGTTGAAGGTTCTTCTTGAAAGGGTGGAGGGTTTGCCTACCTCTGGGGGAGAGCTAGCTGTGCCAAGGCAGGAGAGGGCAAGGTGGAGCAGCTGTGATGGCACCTAGGGCTGGAGGTGGGGCTAGGCAAATAGCAGACAAAGCAGATGGTGGGAGACCAAGGGCCTGGAAGGGTTGGAGGGAGGAGGAAGAGGAGAAACCAGGGCCATGGATGCTACCAAAGTTTCTCTGGGATCCATGTTGCCCCACCGTTGGCTCTGCTCCCCAGGACCCCTGAGGTCTGGGAGACTGAGTAGGGGTGCCTCAGCCACTCTTTCTGAGTCCAGCTGCCAGGCATAGAGTAGAAGGGGCAGCCTCCCTACACCAGGGACCCCTTGGCAAAGCTTTACCACCCTCCACCTGGGTGTATCATATCAGCCCCCTGCCCAGAGCTCCCGGCCCCATCACCAGGGGGGTCAGAAGAGGCCAGTGACCAGGGCAGGGGACCAGAGGCAGGGGAGTGGAGGATGAAGCCAATATATCCCGAGGGAACTATGGCGGTGAGTGAGGCATAAATAAGGTGCTTTGTGTGCCGCAGCCACCCCCTCCCCTACACACGCACACACGCACACGCACACACACTCTCTCACACGCTGAAGCACAGCCCATTTGCAGGGTAATGGCTTTGTGACAGCAGGAATTATCTGCAGCATTAGAGGCAGCCAGGCCTGGTGGGGAGGGGCAGGCTGGGTCTGTGGGGGACCAAAAGAGGAAGCAGGTGCCCACGGGCTAGGACTTGGGCCCCTGAGGATGCCGTAGGAGTGGGAGGCATGGTAGGGGCTGCAAGGAGCTTGGTGAGAGCCAGGGCCGGGTGGGCAGCCCCTGCCCTCTAGTGCCCACGGCCCTTCGCTTCCTGCTTCCAAGGCCTAAAAGTGGGCAGATGCAGGAACACTAACCGAGGACCTGGCATCACCGCCAAGCAGCCTCCTGTTCCTGCCCTGGCTTCAGTGCTGTCTTGCTGCCCAGCTCCAGGAGGTCACATCCTGCTGAAGGCCTAGAGAGAGGGGCCGAGGGTGATGAAGGGACCAAAGGGAACCCCAGGAAAGAGGACACGTGGGTGTGGCAGCAGGGGTGGCAGAGTTGGCATTAGTTGATTGTTTCCCTCCATTACTGTGGTGGGAATCAGGGCCGGGTTGCCCGGCAGTGCCAGGGAGGAGGGGGTTCAGGAGGGAGGACCCCCTCCTTCCCCAGATCAGGAAACTGATCCCCCACCTGGTCTTCAGAAAAGGCCTCTGAATGCCTCTTTCAGCCTGAGGCCATCAGGGGCTAATCTTCCCGCTGGCACTCCCTTAGCCAGCTAGCCTTGGTAAGGGCAGCAAAGCCCTATTAAAGAAAGTGGGGCACACTGGATCTTCCGGGCTGCATGGAACCCTGAGGTCATCGTGATGTAGGGATGGGGTTGGTCCCTGAGGTCCCTAGTGTCCCCACCCCAGGGCTTAGCCGGGTCTGATATCTGTCATGGGGGTGCAGGCAAGTCACGCCTGTGGGCCTGACAATAAAGCCAGGCTCCATGGCTCTGGCAGCAGCAGAGTACCCTGCCCACCTGCGGGCACACCCAGATTGCATTTACTGAAATAAATTGCTGGAGAAAATAAATCCTGCACACATGATTAATGGGAGGCAGGCAGCCGCCACAAAGAGCCGCTGGGGAACAGAGTGACAGTCGGGCACAAGGCCAGCACAGCCGCAGAGTCTCTGGGAAAGGACTTTGGTCACTGTACAGCTGCAGGGGTCACTGTGGCCTTGGCATTGCCACCAAACAGGGGGCCTGAGCCTACAAGCCCATAAGGCCCCCAGGGGCTCAGACAAGCCCCCAGCGTGACTCCCCATCATTGTGGAGAGTGCAGAGAGGGGGCCGATTTTGAGTTTGGAGTGCTCTGACCTGAGCCTGACTGCTCCTGGTGATGAGGGGGCCCCATGGACCAGATCAGGAAGTAAATCCAGAGTCTCAGGAGGAGGGCTAAGGTCTTCCCTACTGGCCAGCTGTGAGTCATTGAACAAATCGCTTCCCATCTCTGAGCCTCTGTCTCCTCATCTGTTCCATGGAGTTGGTACCAGGGCCTCCCTCATAAGCAGATTGAGAGGCACAGCTGAGCACACTCAGGCAAAGCATCTGTAAGGGTGTGTGGCACACAGGGGGGACAGCCTAGCCAACAAAGGGGTATTAAGTATCTCTAATGTGCCACGCTGTGCCGGGGGCTGGGGTTCAGTCGCTGCCCACGTGGAGTTTATAGGCTGGAGGTAGGCTAACATTGAAGGACTAATAATAATAATGACATAATGTATAAGTCATTTCAAATGCACAAAGTGCTGTGAAAGGCCTGAGTGCTGGGGTGACACAGGCAGTGGGGTTACAGTCTGGAGGTCAAGGCAGGCCTCCTGGGGGCCCTGAACACAAATGAATTTGTGGCAAAATCCAAAAGGTGGACCATACACTCTGTTGGTGAGGCTGCTGAGAAATAGTCTCATCCCTGCTTGGGGAGTGCCCAGTGGTACAAGACCCACAAGGGCAATTGGCAACACCTGCTGAACGCCTCCTTGAGTTACAAACACTCTCATGCTGTTATTAGTACTCCCACTCAGGACATTATATCCTCCAGATATGTACAAAAGCTCATTTATGAAATGATGGATACACGGAGGCATTCACTGCAATGTTGCTAGTAAGAGTGAAAAAGGAGCAACTGCCCAATTACTCATCGAGAAAGGAATGAGTTAAATAAGTTGTGTACAGCCACACAATGGAATACTATGCAGCTGTAAAAAAGGAACAAGGACTTTATTTATGAAAAGACTGCCAAGATAGATTTAAATGCAGAAATGTGAAAACAAAACGCAGAACAGTATACACTAGGTGTGCCTTTTGTATAAGAAAGGAGGAAAATAGGAGCACAGATTTTTATTTTCTTTAGAAGGCTACACAAGAAATTAATACAAGTGGCCACTTGGGGGTATGTGGGGTGGGGGTGGGGGGAGGAAACCAAGTGCATAGGGAAGGGGTGGCAGGAAGGCTTTTTACTTTGTATTGCTTTGATTTTTTAAATCAATTGGATGTATTATCTACTGAAAAACTATTTTTAATAATATTTAAGGGATTTTGTTTCTTCCTGGAGGGCAGAAGGCTCCCCAAAGGAGCCAGAGCACAGGGCGGGGAGTTGGTCAAATTTGTTGATTCCAGGCCTGTCCTCAAGCTGGGGTGGTCCGGGAATAATTATTTAAGCGTTGGCCCATAACTGCACATGGGGACACTTAATCCATGAACCTTCAGGAATCAGAAGCTCAGGAGAAATGCCCCGCCCCAGGTGTGGCCCCAACCAGCCCGGGACTCAAGGCTCTGTGCTCGCATGAAGGCCTTGGACTCCGAGGGCCGGGCCTGAAGGAGTGACCCGAGCAGAGGGCCACGGGCACAGCTAGAGCAGCACCGTGGAGACAGTGTCTGGGGAGACATCTACCACTCGATGGGGGATCAGGCGAGAGAAAGGGTGCGAGGCTTTGCCGAGCACGCGCTGGTTCCAGGGAGGCATTGCAGACCCACGGGGAGGAGGCCCCTCCTCTGGACGGATCAGGCCCAGAAGGCAGAGCAGGCATGGGGCGCCTCCTGGTGGCGCTCTGTGAGAGATGCAGGCCTTGAAGGACCGGGAAGCCAGGGACCAAGTTACACGCACAGCTGGGACAAGGGATTGGAACCCAGGCAATTCAGAGGAGATCTTAGGGCCGTTGGAGAAAGGTCTCAGTGACCGTGGCCTCCCCCAGTGACCCCCGCAGCCGATGGGCTGTGGGAGTTGGTTTCAGAAGCACCACCCCCATGGCCACCCCGCCCAGTCCCCTCCCACCAGCTTGCCCAGCAGAATCCCTGCGTTCTAATGGGGTTCAGGGAGTGAGTCTCATGCGTTTTCTGCCCTCCCCATGATCTTTCCACCCTGCCCCTTTTCCCCGAAGCAGCTCCTTTGTTTCCTGAGTCGCCCTGTCCCTGCTTAAGCCCCAGCCCCTGGCAGCTTTGGCATCTGTGTAATCCCAAGTGAGCAAAGTGTAGGACCAATTGCATAATTAACAGGGCCCGTGTTCCACAGTTATTAAGAATTTCAAAATGGCGACAGCAGAGCGTTAAACCAAGCAAGGGTGTCTGAGACGGGCACCCACGAAGCTGAGGCCAGAGCGGCAGGCCCAGGAGGTGCTGGAGAGAGGGGGCACAGACAGTCACGAAAACTGGGCTCCCGACCTCTATCCCCCACCCCCCCACACACAAGAGGCTCTGGGCCTGGGACTTGGGACTCCCCCTCACCTCATCTTTGTGTCTGAGCATCTCTCAGACCTTCCCTGCTCCCCACCTGGTGAGCAGGCATACACATACACACCCAGTCAGGGAGAGCCTCAGAGCAGAGGGCTGGGCATGGGAACAGGCCCCTGGGTGCTTTATTAAGTGCTTACATGTACCAGCTCCACTAAGCCTCATAGTATGCCCATTTTGCTGATGAGAAAACTGAGGCATGGAGATGTTGATGGCTTACCAAGGAGAGCCAGGGTTTCCAGGTCTGGGCATGAACCACTGGGGAGACGACTCTAAGGAATAAAAGAGGGTGCAAGGATTTGCTCTAGGTGCCATCTTGCTTACTGGTTATGGCTGGGGCCTGGGGGGAAATAATACAATTAACGGTAGTTTGTGAAGTTCACTGAACCATTAGCATGTGCCAGGCCAGTTCTAGTCATCCTACACATACTGACCCAGGGATCCTTCACAGAAGCTTCATGCAGTAGTGGCCACTTTACTTATGGGGACTGAGTGAGGCCCAGTGAGGGCATACCACCTGTTCAGGGTTGCAGGACAGCAGGGGTGGAGCTAGGATTTGAATCTAGGCAGGCAAGGTCTGCTATCTGAGCCACTACATGGTGCACCTTTGAGGGTGCCAGGGGACACTGAACGTGGTGACAGAGGGGCAGAGGGGCAGGCTGTCCTGTGGTCTGGCTGCAGTCCATCTCCACACTGTTGTGCTCTTTCTCCACCTCTAGTCTCTGAGCCACACTGACTCTAAGTCCTGGCCCCATCTCCTTCTCCTCCAGAGTCCCCCTCCCCCAACCAAGCAGCCCTGCATCACGGGACTCAGGCTATGTGGCGGACCTGGAGTTTGACGAGAGAGGGGTCTGTGAGCAGTGTAGGAGCTTGCAGCTGGAGCTTATCTTCTGTATCGTCCCCTATCCCTATCCCTCCTGGGGGGGTCTGGTCCCCTCTCCTCCAAGGAGCTGGCTGCCCAGGGAAGGGTGTTATCCGTGTGGCTGGAGGCCCTGCCTGTGGACCTAAGTCAGCTCTGACAAGGCCGCCATCTTCACCCAGTGTCCTCCCAGACCAGGAGGCTCAGGATCAAGTGGAGGGACATTGAAGACCAGGGCCAGCCTTGAGTCGGGCCTCCAGCATGGCCTTCCCTGGAGGCTGAATTCCCCTTGGTGGCCAACCTGCCCAGCTCTGCCCCAGCCCTACCCTGTGTGAGTATAGGCATGTTCCCGCTCTCCACCCTCTCTCTCTGAGTCCTTGTTTGTCCCTCTCTTCTCTCTCTTTCTCCCTCTCTCCCTGCCACACCCCTGCCCCTCCCTCTGCCTCTCTCTGATGCCCTCATCCCCGTCTGTCTCCCACCCTCCCTCTCTCTGTGTGTTTCTTCTTTCCCTGCCTTAGCTGTGTCTCTTGTTCTCTCTCTGTGCCCCCCACCCTGCTTCCCAAGCCCTAACTCACACCCCTCCTCCTTTCCCCAAGCTCCCTTCCCGGCCTTGTTCAGGGCGGAGGGGGAGCAGAAGCACATTTCTTGTCGTCCAGGCCTAATATCTTAATGCAAGGCCATTACTCACCCGGAGTCCAGGCAGGGCAGGCCTCGCCCCTCCTCGTTTGTCATCCAGAGTCAAGCCTCTGTGTGGTTCCTCGGGGATCAGATTAAAGGACTGACAGGCGGATGAACAAATTTAGCTGCCAGCGCCGCCTCTTCCTCCAGGTCCCTGAACTTTGAGTAGGGAAGTCTGAGGCCTCAGAGAGCCCCGTTTCTTGATTCTGCTCATCCTCAAAGTGCCCAGCAAGGGGTGAGGGATAGCAGGAGATTTTTCTCCTGAGAGGGAGAGAGAGAGAAAAGGAGCTGGGTCCAGAGTGACCTGGACCCCTGGAGGCAGTTGAGGATTTACTATAGAACTTGAACAGCCGATACTATATATAGTCCTTAAAGCCTGCCAGGCCCTATTTGAAGCCTTTTACCTGTATTCAGTAATTTAATCCTTAAAACACCCTTATGAGGTAGGTACTATTAGTATCTCCATTTTACAGGGGCTCAGAGAGGCTAAGTGACTTACCCAAGGTCACACAGTGAGTGAAGCCTGTGTGTGTCAGGCATAGTGCTTTGTGTCTTTGTTAATTGTCTCAACACAGCGTCTGTGGGAAAGGGGCTAGTATCATCCCCCTCCTATGGTGAGAAAACGGAGGTTTTGCCCGGGTCTAGAGCCCTCTGGGACAGCTCTGTGTCCCACCATGGTCCTGTCCTCCCTTTGTCTTAGTTCCCCGGGACAGGCTCTGCTCTGCACTGCTGTCTGCAGAGAAGGTATGGCTGCAGCCAATTTGGGGGAAGCAGGAGTGTGATGCTCTCTGGCCTGGCATGTCTCCTCTCAGCCCCGTCTTTGGGGCCACATCTTCCACCAGGACTCTTGGTTTGCAGGGGGCAGTGTCCAGGGTAACCCACCGTCATCACACCTCTGCCAGTCAGGCTGTGTCCCTGAGCATCTGCCACCTGGAACCCAGGATCTGGAACCCAGACCCCAGAGGTGAAAGCCAAGAGCTACCTCCATGGGAGAGACAGGGAAGAGCTGTGGAGCCTACCTGGAGCCTTCTCACTGCTGCTCGGACACCAACTCTTTCCACTTGCCACGTCAGCCCAGTTCCCATAGTAACCACTGGCTTGCTGTCTCTTAGCAACCGAGTGTTCCTCAGAGGGGGGAAAGCAGAGCCGTGAAGAGTGGCCAGAGAACTTGGGGTCAAATCTCAGCTATGCCATGTTGTAGCTGTGAGGTCTTTGATAGGTCACTTAACCTCTCGGAGCCTCTGCTTTCCCATCTGTGTAATGGGGATAATTCTGTTCAAGGATTAAGCATTTTGGATTAAGCCGTCAATCTGTGAAACATGCAGGGCCATACAAAGGTGTAGGATTAACGAGGAAGGGCCAGTGGGGCAGTGTCGGGCCTGAGTAGGAGCAGATGGAGGTGAAGCCTGGTGTCCAGGTGGGAGCCCTGGTGTGGGCGGGCCTCTCCATCATGAGAGACCCCAGCCTTGCCCACCTGGCAGCCCCATCCAGACTCCTTGGCCCTTCAAATCACCACAGTCCTCAGTGTGGCGCTTTCTGTCATCATCCAGTGCCCAGGGTCCCCCCCCCCCGCCTTAGAAAACTACAATGTATTGGCTACCAGAATCGAATAAGTTCTAAGCCCTTTACATGTATATCATTTCATTTTACCCAAAGAGATAAGTTCTTATTATTTCCCAGTGGAAACTGGGGCTGGGAGAGGTTACGTTACATGCCAAGGTCTTGCAGCTCAGAGAGGCAGAGCTGGGCCTGGAACCCTGGTCTCTCTGATAGCCTGACATCTTTCCTGCGCTGTCTCTTGAGTTAGGAAGGCAAGATTGGGAAGGGAGGGGTGACCCAGCGATGGAGGTGGGAGGCGAGGGATCGAGGGAGGGAGATCCGAGGACAGACCCCGCGGGACAGGCCCGGGAGAGCCTGAGGTAAGGGACGCAGGGCCAGGGGACAGGCACCAGCCAAAGCTCCAAACAGGAGGGGATCTCCGGGGCTCGTCAACGGTGCCGACACATTTCCTGGCGGCGGTTCCTCACCCCACGGCGCCCTGGGAACGCGTCCTGCGGGGGAAGAGCTGGAGAGGGGGGTACCGCTGTGGTGGCGGGCTCGGGAATCAGCCGCAGTTTCTCGGCACTGGCGGGCGGAGGCGAGGGTAGGGGGAGCGGTCAAGCCAGGGGGCAGGTACCAGGAGAGGGGGAGCCGGCGGCCCGAGTGCCCTCGGGCGGGAGC